TTCACCGGTGGAGGATAACTAAAAACACAAACCATGCTAATCCTCTGTCACTGCAACAAAACACCGGAGGTAGCCTGCCATGGTAGCACTCGCTTTTAACTCCGACACTTGAGAGACAGAGGCAGGCAGACCTCTGAGTTCAAGGCTAGACTGGCCTACATAGAGAGTACCCGTCTAGGCAGGGCTATATAGTGAGACCTGGCAAACAAAGATCCCATGAGACAACAGAAACATAAGGGAAACATGCTATCTTGGCTCACAGGACTGGAGGTTCTGCACCCTCCTAAGGGCAGTTCACCACGGCAGGAGCATATGGCGGAGCAATTACTTATCACATGTGCCTGGAGACAAAGGAAGAGGTTAGAGTCCCAAGATCCCCGACTGCCAGTGCTGAAAGGCTTGGTCCTTCTGCCACCTCGCCTGATTTGTTACCCAAATCACTGAAAATTTGGGTTTCTGTTGTTGGGTATCAAGTACACTGATACTGGTACCAATAGTGAGATTACGGTATCAAAGTACCCCCATCATTGGTCTACTAGGGCTAGTGCCCTAGTGAGAAGACTGACAACCTATGTTTCAGCAGTAATAAACAAATAAATAAAGTAAATGGCAAATTAGTGCCTGTGATAACTTGAAGATGGAAAATGTGCCTTTTTTGGGGGGGAGGGGAGCAGATAGTAGTGGAGATTGAACCTACAGCCATAAGTATGCTAGGTAAACACCCACCCTCCCGCTAAGCTATATCCCCAAAGCCCCAACCCCCTTTTGATATACATTTAATTTGGAGTCCCACCAAATTGCCTGGGTTGACCTTGCTGAGGTAACAAACCAGTGCTACCAGGTTCTGCTAGAGAATGTTGTTGTTCTCTTTCGAGACAGGGTTTCTCTGTGTATCTCTGGCTGTCCTGGAACTCTCTCTGTAGACCAGGCTGGCTTTGAACTCAGAGATTCACCTGCCTTTGCCTCCAAGTGCTGGGATTCAAGTGTGTGCACCACCACGATGATTAAGTGAGGTGGATGGAGGGTTTTTTTGTTTGTTTATTTGTCTTTATTTCTTTTGGTTTTTTAGAGGAGGGTCTTGAAATGTAGCCCCAGCTGGCCTGGAAATCACTGTGTAGCTCAGGCTGGCTTTGAACTCCCAGTGATCTTCCAGAGTCCTCGGATTACAGGTTTATGTTGTCAAGCCTGACCTGGGTGAAAGGTTTGAAAACAGAAATGTTGGGAGCAGGAGTTGGCTAGTATTAGCTGTGTTTGTTAAAATTCTATGAAAAAGAAATGACTGGAAAAGTAGAGAAGACAACAATACTGCTCTATTGTCAAGCAGGGATAGGGAAAAGGTAATTTGGAAATTTCAAGATTTAACAAAAGCTGAATATTGCAACTGTTTATTCAGCTTATGAGAAAAACTATGAAAACGCTTTGAATCAAAAGGCTGTTTTAACACATTGCCCTAAAGACCAAACAGCACGTGGTATTCAAAAAGCCCCAGTAAATGCTTGCACTGTACAAAAAGGCTCAAAGAGACGGATAGAGACCCTACAGAGGCCTGCTACCTTTAAAAGATCTGTAACCAAATCCAGAGAGGCAGGGAGAAGAGCTGTGGTTCTAACTACTGGCAAACAAGCTCACTGGGATTAGACTTTTAAAATGCTTTTGATAATGATTGTTCAAAATAGGAAATGACTCTCGTGCCTCAACAGTCCTTAACCAAGACATCCACTAAGGAAGTTGTTCAGTCACCAAGAATACAGAAGAAACATTTTCTAGTCCCTTTTCAGATGTAGCAAAGCGTATTAGAAAAGGACTCACCCCTGTGTTCCCTTGCCCCCGGAGGACATCTTTATTGTTTAACAGATCATCAATTTCTCTGACCCTCCAACTGGAATTTCATCCTATTTCCATGCAGAGTCATAAACAGTAATCTACATGGGAAAGAGAACTAAGCTATTACAACTTACTTTCTTTTGCAAGCAGAATATAAATAGATGTACTGTAGAATGTGCAATGGTTTAGTCACTAAGGGATTTAAATGGAATCTTGAAGAATGTAGATCAGTCAGTCCCGGTGTAGTAAAATCGAGCTGAGATGGGCAACTGTCTAAGGTCCTTGGGGCTGCAACTCTTGGTCCCTAGCTGAACCCTGTGCTAATGCCAAATGGAGTTACAGAGAACACCAAATTGACTTAGCACCTGTGCACAGGAACCCAAAGGCAGGAGACTACTAAGCGTTGCTGAGAGCATGCGTCCCAGGAAGGACAGGACGGCACTACTCCCAGCGCTGACATGGCGGATCTCATCCTCTGTTCCACTTGGCATAGTGTGTCTCAGTGGCAGTGCCTCCACTATCTATGGCAGAGATGCAACCCCTCAGAGTGACTTTCACCACCGCATCAATGAGGGAGTTGGTTCCCCTGGAAAAAGCTTCCTATTTAAATTCCCCCATAGATCCATTCCAAACAATCTGCTCAGCTCGAGCCAGCCTCAGGCTGCTGTCAGTACCTGAGTCCAAGCCCATCCAAGTAAACAGTTATGCCAGAGGCCACGGTAGCTTGACGAGCCATGGCATTTTTATCCAACTTGTCATCATTGAGGAAGCCAACAGGCAAGGTAATCTTCATGCCATTTTTTTCTCAGTTTTGGACATGAGCTCTTTGTTTTTTTTTAAATATTTATTTATTTTGTATACAATATTCTGTCTGTGAGTATGTCTGCAGGCCAGAAGAGGGCACCAGACATCATTACAGATGGTTGTGAGCCACCATATGGTTGTCGGGAACTGAACTCAGGACCTTTGGAAGAGCAGGCAATGCTCTTAACCACTGAGCCATCTCTCCAGCCCGAGCTCTTTGATAATATCATCATCATACATAGAAGTGCGACTCTCCATGTTGTTTACTTAAAGAAGGTACAAGCCATTCCACTGACGATGACTATCTTCATTGACTTTGTCCAGCGTTTATTAATCAGCTTCATCTTGTTTGCTACTTTACTCTCTGCCCAAGATGGTTAGGATCACTTTGGATTCTCTTAAGGCTTGCCAAAGTAGTACATCTCCTTCATAAAAATAAAACAAACCCCCCCCCCAGTCTTCTGTGGAATCCACACCCACCATGTATCTGTAGGCCCAGTGCACAGTCCCCAGGCGCTGTTGATGGAGATACCCTTCCTTTGGACAGCGAACCTTGGGGAGCATCCATTTCGTCTGTCTCAGCTATAACCTTGCTCCCAGAAGCGTCTTTTCCTCCTCTTCCTCCACATGGAAGTGGAGGCTCTCCAGCTGGATGACAGACTCAGCCCCTGGGTTGGCATGGCTTTCTCTGTTTCTGGGCCCACACACTCCAAGAACAGAACATTCTTGTCTAGCAGAGATTTGAGTTCTGTAGCAACTGCTTCTAAGGAGTACTTATCACCCATGGGAACACCATCAGGTGGCTCATAAGGACAACCGACTTGGCTCAAAGTCCAAGCAGAGTTTGATACTTGGAACAGCAACCTTGATCCTTTGGTGTTTGCTATCTGGTTGTTCTTCATAGGAACACTGAAGTCCACTCTCATAATGATCTACTTCCCTTCATGTCCAGCTTTTCCAGAGTCGGCTTGCTAGAAATTTTGGAAACACTTCCTGTGGAGAAGCCAGATGAAGGAGAGACTGCGACAGCTGGCTTGGGCTCCTGAAGGGTGCACCTGTTTGCTTTTGTGAGACAAGGGTCTCATTATGTAGCCCAGGTTGACCCCCAAACCACAATCTTCCTGCCTTAGTTTCTAAGTATAAAAAAAAAAACCTGTTTCTAACTCCATGGAACATTGAAAGACAGGGAACTACTTCTACAGAGAAGCCTAAAGATTTTTCTATCCAAAGGAAGAGGACATTACATTTGTTCAGTGGGATTACTATGGACTGATATACACCAAAGTTTAAGCTCATAACAAGCATGAGATCAGCATGAGCTACATGAGACTCTGCCTCAAAGACAGAACAAAACAAAAACAGTCTTGTTGAGATATCCCTGACAAAAACTGTATGTTTAAGATGTACAAGGATGTCCTGGTGCCGGGCGGTGGTGGCACACTCTTCACTCAGAAGGCAGAGGCAGGTGGATCTCTGAGTTTGAGGACAGCCTGGTCTACAGAGTGAGAAACCCTCCTGGAAACCAAAAAACAAAAGATGTTCTGGTATCTGCATCCATTTGAAATGATCACTGTGATTCAGTTAAACGTATTATTGCTATTCAGCCTTCAAGTCTAACAAGATCAACACGTATCAAGGATCAGCAGACAGCAGTCTAGGCCAAGGTCAGCCAGAGACCCTGTTTCTATAAAAAGGAAAAGATGTGGTACCTAGACTTAAGGAAACCCTGGACTTTAAGATCTCATGAGATAAGATTTTCTTTTTGAAGATTTATTTATTATGTACACAGTGTTCAGCCTCCATGTATGCCTGCAGGCTAGAAGAGGGCACCAGATCTCATTATAGATGGTTGTGAGCCACCATGTGGTTGCTGGGAATTGAACTCAGGACCTCCGGAAGAGCAGTCAGTGCTCTTAACCTCTGAGCCATCTCTCCAGCCCTAATAAGATTTTGAAGCCTGCCTTGGGGTGGAGCTGTGTGCATTCTGTGTAGGATAGAAACAGATATTCATCACCATGACCACCAAAGCATCACACCATCCTATATCTGCCACCCTCAGGTGGAATGTGCTTCTCTGGCCCACTGTTTGGTTTGTCCATGTGAGCTGATTTTGGCCAATGGCATGAATAACTTGCCTTCTGCCATATCTAAGCAGGATCTCTGAAATGTACTTGCATGGTATGGTTTGTTTCTTGCTCTTGCCTTATGCCCAAATAATTCTAGAGAAAAGCCAATCCAGTAATCTAAGGTGATTCAAATGGCTAATCTCAGACCCATGATGATGAAATAGTTCTGTATTTATCTTGGATCCTTTTCTATCTAACATGACTTTCAGATTATCTTGTGTTAAAGAATTAAAGACCAAATTTCTAATTCCAGGTTTTCTTTTTATTAAAGTATTTGGTGAGATGAACAATATTATCAACACAAATTTCACTAAAATATTCACAGATAAAGTCCCTATTTTATAAATCGTACAAATAGCATGCTTCTATTTAGAAATTATAATCACCATTAAATTTGGTTACTCTGACGCCATTCCTCATCACATACATGAGCTCTCAAATTGGGAGATCCAACCCCGTCAGCTTAGCACACGGGGCTAGCTGCTGATACCAGAAGCTAGTCACAGCGAGTTGCAGGGGGAGAAATGGATGTGACTTGAAACTCATCGTTTCTCCTTGCAAGGTAGAGTAGTTTTTCCATTTGCATTGAAAATTAATCTTCTCGAGTAATAAATAATAAAATGTGATATATTAAAGTGTGGCATACGTCTGTGCTTCTGAAAGCATTCGGGTGTGATTTTTAAAAGGCAACTTATTTTTTATTTACACAACTGATAGGATACAACTTCAAAATAGGTTGGTGATTATTCTCTTTTCTAGAAAAGTATCTTTTTGCACAAATGTCATTAAGATCACAGTAGCCTGATCCTAGATTAATAAAATTGCCTGATGTTATGTTCAGTAAACTGTTTAAAAAGGATTGCTGTCATGGTTTGATAAAATTTGCAAATTATTTTAAGACATTTCAACTATTACATAGTATATTTTTGTCACTTTTCCATAGTAAGAAATCCTGCTACCCACAACACAGAGGTACTGACTGTTCCTTGGGATAGTGCAGGGTCTCTGTCATGACCTATGAAAGAGTAAATGAGCTAGTTTGGACCAGCTCTCTAGGAATAAAGTGCCCTGTGCCATCATAAAAAGACTTGGTAGTGTATGGGCAGTGGGGAGACGAAAATGAAAAAAGTGCAAAGATTTAAAAACCCCTTAGTTTTGGAAGCATGTGATTTTGCTGTAAAGGAGGAGTAGAGACATCTGCCATGAAATGTGTGATACTTCCGGTACAAACCATACTGAAACTTCTAGCAGAAAAATAAAAAGGTAAAAAATAACGAACGAACGTGGAAGAAAAAAATATAAATTGTGATGCTGTAGCTTTTAATTTTAAAAAGTCAGCACAAATGGACAAATACCAGCAAATAGAACCTTCTCTAACCAGCTTGTCATTTAAGAATGCGTTGGCTAGAGGGATGGCCCATGCCTATAATCCCAGGAGAATCATTACAAGTTCAAGGCCAGCTGGCAACACAGTAAGTTCCAGCCTAGTCAGGGCTACATAGCCAGGTCCTGGCTCACACAACACTACCCTCTCCTCACTCAAGTGAAGATCTGGGGTTATATCAGGGAGTAACCTTCTGCGGTGTAGTCAGCCATTTTAAAATAAGTATTTTCTGAAAAACGAGAGATACTTTTTGAGAAGGCCATATATTACACACTAGTTGTGGTTCTTTCCAGATGGCAAAGGAGTCAATGCACTATACAGATACAGAGGCGATGTTTGTACATTGAACATAGATCTCTTAAGGAAAAATACAATAATAGACTTTTCTATATCATGCAGTGTTGGAAACAACCATTCTTTAGAAAGTGCAGTGCTCTCAAGACATCTCAGAGCTAATGAGTATTTTATAAAGCGGAGTGTCACAATCTTAATGTGAAATAGTCTGAAGTTGGTTTTGCTAAATGATAAGTCTCAGGCATTTAGAGTGAGCAAGAAGAAAATTTGCTCGTTTTATGGCCTGTACCTATCCCATGCTTGAGGGAATGCCATGGGTCAAATGCCATAACAAATTTCTTTTCCCTATTGTGGCCAACAGAGGCTAGCCTGGTTCTAGGCAAGATTAAAGCAGGTTCTGTCAAAGAGCCTGCCCAGGACTGATCCATCAAGAGATTCCAAGCTAACTGGGTACCGAGCTGAGCCTAGGGCAAGCTGATGCATGTGCTTTGACTCAGGATCCCAGCCTTGCATCACCTTCAGGCCTAACGGCATCCAGAATAGGCCTGCGCCGTGCCGATTGTCTGCTGGATGTTGGGCTGTGATGCCCATGGGTATATGCTAGAGTTCAATATGAAGTCTGAAGGGGCAGGACAGGCAAAGCATACTTATTGGAGCCAACCTCCATCTTTGAGATGCTTTGTGACAAGAGCTCAGTGATTCTGGAGCAGCTCCTCCCAACAGATGGGCTGTGAAAACACCTCTCTCTCCAGCCAGAGCTCATAGGAATAGTGGAAATCTTCAGGCAGATCCAGCCTCTGCCCCAGCACACTCTGTAAGCAGTTATCCACAGGTGAAAATTCTGAGTCCTGTGGTTTATCATAGCGGCGGCTGTTAAAAGCCTCAATGTTGGCCCTCAGGGTACACTCTTCTGCTTGGAAGTCCCATGGCCTGGCATCGATGTCTGACATAGGAAGAGAGGAAGAAGACATACACAGTTCAGGACATTATTCTCTTCCACAGAGCATGGTCTATGGCAGTCTATGAATTCAATGAAACAGTTCAGAATGGTTTTTGAGAACAATGTATAAAGCAGACATGTAGCATGCTTACAGTTTTTAAAAGTATACATATGATCACATATGAACTAATATATACAGAAATCATCTTTGGAAGCAGTAGAAACTGGAAACTAGTTACTCCTGAGAAAGGAGATGGGAGGGCTTTGTATTGTAATTCCTTGTTTCTATTAATTATGCCATTCAAAAGAGCAATGGAGTCTTTAATTGAGTTTTCCCTAGGGGATGAAAAGTTCCCATTTGAATAGAACCACCTCTCAAGGAAGGGGAGATTGGAGAAGAACACGAAGAGGCAAGTCTGGACCAACTCAGTTGGGCACGGTGGACATGCCTTTAATCCCAGCCCTCGGGAGCCAGAAGCAGGCAGATCTCTTGAGTTTGAGGCCAGCCTAGCTTATATAGTGAGTTTCAGGCTAGCCAAGGCTACATAGTGAGACCTTGCCTCAAACGAAACAAAACAAAACAACCCCCCCCCAAAAAAAACTATAAGTAGGCAAACATTTTACCATATCATAAAATTGTGTCATATTTAGGGGCTGGGGAATGGGCATGAAGACCAGAGTTTGAATGCCTAGCACCTACATAAAAGCCATTTATACCCCAGTGCTGCGGAAGCAGAGACAGGCTCATCCCTGGAGCTCAGTGTCCAGCCAGCCTAACCAAACTAACGAGTTCCAGGTTCACCAAGCATACTCACCATTCCCATAAGCCCAGTCATCATTCATGCGGTGGCGCACTTTCTGGTAAATGGCCGACATAGTCTTCATATTGCTTTTCCTCCACTGGCGCCCAAGGTACTTGGTTTGTATCTTTAGTAGCTTTAAGACATAAAGTTGTAGCATGGCCTGTTTGACTTTGAGGGCTCTCTTTAAGATTGGAGCGGATTTAAACACCACCAGCATCTGCCCAATGAAACACAGACATCATCATGTGAAATTTTGAGAATTTCTAACTCAGACAATATAGACAAACCTGGCTGTTCTCTGAGCCCCCGAGTATCTAAGGTCCAAACTCCTTAAGAATGTCTTCAAGAACACATAAGAACTATATAAGGAGTTTGAGGCTAGCCTGGGGTAGTGAAACACTGTCTATGGTGAGAATTAGGAAGTGCGAAAACTTATGTATCATTCACTAGCTATCTCCAGATCTTTCCAAGTAAGCAATCTACAAATACTAATGATTAAAAAACCCAGTTGAATGGATATGTCTGAGCTCTAAAGTCCACTTACCATGGTCCTGGAGTGCTTCCATTTGGTCAGTTTGTTGAGCAGTCTCAGGAGGTTGATGCAGGAGAAGAGGTTCCTCCAGCAGAACTGGCTATTGTCTCCAGCTTCCTGAAATAAGGGACATTCATCATGATATCTCAGTGCCCACAAGGCTTTCATTCTCCTAGAAGATTGCATGTCCTTGTTGGTTGGTTTAGGTGACTATTCCAGCATGAAATGCTGCTTGATTACTTCCTGCCCTTTGCACACCTAATCTCATTTCTGAGGGCATAATGTCCTTCCTATAGCTGGACTGAGCATGTAGATCAGTAATAGAGTACTTGCATAGCACGTGTTTCTGCATTATTATTATTATTTATTATGTGTGTGTGTGTGAAGGTCAGAACACACTACGGAGTTGGCTCTCTTCTTCCACTTTTATGTGGGTTCCAGGTATCAAACGGAGGTCACCAAGCTTGTGGCATGTTTTTACCCACCAAGTCATCTCTCCAGCCCCTCTTTTATGTTTCTTTTTTTAAAAAAAGATTTTATTTTTTACTTAGGTGTCTGTGTATATATGTGCGAGTGACTGCAGAGACCAGAAGGAAGCATTAGAATCCCCAAAGGTAGAGTTCTGGGCAGTTGTAAGTTTCCTAATGTGGGTACTGGGAGCTGAACTCAGGATCCAGGACAGCCCAGTACTCTTACCACTGAGCACCACTGTCTTGTGAGTACCCAACCAGAGACCACAGGGCATACCAGACAGAAACCAGTGTGCTCATAGAAACGTTTTGTTTTGTTTTCTGTTTTTTGAGACAGGGTTTCTCTGTGTAGCCCTGGCTGTCCTGGAACTCACTCTGTAGACCAGCCTGACCTCAAACTCAGAAACCCACCTGCCTCTGCCTTTCAAGTGGTGTGATTAAAGGCATGTGGCCACCACTGCCCACCTAGAAGCATCTTTCTCAGGAGCAAAAATAAGATCTCTTATTTGACTTTAGGGGAAATATATATATATATATATATATATTATAACACACATATTACATAGAATATATAACATGCCTATAATCCTAAGAGGCAGAAACAAGAGAATTTCAAGTTTCAGGCCAGCCTGAGCTACATAGTGAATTCAAGGACAGTCTGGACCACACAGTAACAAGGCCATGTCTCAAAAACAGCACTGGGACGTCAGGATGGCTCAGCTGATAAGGATGCTTGTTGCCAAGCTGCTAAGCACGATGACCAAGTTTGATCCCTGGAACCTGCTTAATGGAAGGAGAGAACCAACTCCTGCAAATTGTCCTCTAACCTCCAGACATGTACAGTCACACACACACACACACACACACACACACACACACACACACGGAGAGAAAGAGAATAAATGTAAAAAAATTAAAACCTGGAACAAGGCTGAGGATGCATTTAGGTAGTACAGTGCTTGCTTAGAATGCAAAAAGCCTTATGTTAGTTTATCACTAAAAAAAAAACAATAATTTTGACTATGTTCTACCCTCACAGTTAAATTACTATTGTAGAATGCCTAGAGTCTAAATTTTCAGTTTGTCCTGCCATTAAGGGCATCTTCAAGGAAATACTAGGGTCCTAGTCTCAAAAGGGTGAGGGGCTGAAGAGATGGCTTAGTGATTAAGAGCACTGGCTACTCTTCCAGAGGTCCTGAGTTCAATTCCCAGCACCCACATGGTGGCTCACAACCACAGGATCTGATGTCCTATTCTGGCATGCAGAGCACTCATAAGTAGAATATAAATAAAAAAATTAAAAAATCTTCTCATAGCCCACTTAAGTGAGCCAAACCAAATAAAAACCTAGGCTATGCCAATTGTCTAGATAATCCAGATGACTAAAGGAAGAACAGAATTTGTTTTTGATTTTTGACTGAGAAAGAGTTTGGTTTGAGTCTGAACACTAAATAGGATTCAGGTGTTCTAGCGAAATTCAGTCATCCACAGAAGCAAAAACTAAGGCCCAGAGAGGGAAAGAGTCTACAGAACAAGACCACATAACTGTGAACCCAAACATGGCCCAACCATGATAAATGCCTGGTTTCTACTGAATTTGGAGTCTTCTCCCTGCTGAAAGCATAACTGTAAGACATTATCTTTGATTTTCCTCTTTGTGAAAGTCTTTAAGGCTGTAGGGTAGAGAAGCCTACTATAATTTTTAATTCAAATCAGCAGAAGGTAAATGTCTATAGAAAAACAAGAATAAGAAAAATAGTGAGGTTCTCTTTTTAAAAAATCATTTAGAGCTGGAGAGATGGCTCAGGGGTTAAGAGCATTAGCTATTCTCTCAGAGGACCTGGGTTCAAATCCCAGCACCCACATGGCAGCTTTCAACTGTAACTCCACTTCCAGGGTATCTGGAGTCCTTGCACAGACACACATGCAAGCAAAACATTAATATATGTAAAAATAAATATTTTAAAAATTAATGTATATGTGTGAACTTCCCAAGTGCTGGGATTACAGGTGCTTCCACTTCCTGTGCTGGGATTACAGATGCCTCCACTTCCCGAGTGCTGGGATTACAGGTGTGTCCCACCAGTATTGGGGATCAGGACTTCCTGCATGCCAGGCAAGCACCCTACTGACTCAGTTTTATCCCTAACCCTTAATTCAGTTTTTTGATACATAATCTCATGATATAGCTCAGGTTAGCAATCTTTTAGCCTCAACCTCAAGAGTATTAGGATTACAGATGTATACAATGATACCTGGCAGACGAGACTCTTAATATACCAATTGAGCTCAGGGTGGTTCAGCAGGTAAATATGCCTGCCACTAAGTTTAACCTGAATTCAATCCCCATGACCCACATAGGGGAAGGAGAGAACTGACTTCCACAAGTTGTCCTCTGAATGCCACATGTATATAAGTAAAATAAAAATATAATTAAAAAAATTAAAAATAAGTTTAAAGAGTCAGGCATGGTGGCACATGCCTATAACCCCATTGTTTAGGAGGCTAATTCAAGAAGATAACCCCAAATTCAAGGCAATCCTGGCTAAATAGTAAATCTGAGACCTGCCTGTACTATAACAAAACTCTGTATTAAAGAACAAAGCGGAACCAAACAAAGCTAACTGAATAAACAAACTAAGTAGCAGAGAACTACACATGGTAGCACATTCTTGTAATCTCAGTATTTAGGATATTGGGACAAGAGGATTTCAAGTTCAAGACCAGCCCAAGCTATCTAGTGAGTCTGGGTCAGGCTGGTGTAGTGGTACCTTATTTGTATTTTAATAAATAAAGTTTATCTGAAGATCAGAAGACAAAGCAGCCATATAGGCCAGGGAGTGGTGTGGCACACACCTTTAATCCCAGGACTCAGGAGACAGAGGCAGATGGATCTCTGTGAGTTCAAGGCCACCCTGGGCTATACAAGATTAAATCTGTCTAAAAGAAAAACAAAGCTCACACAAAGGTGAACCCAGCACTTGGTTGGGATCACACTCCTTTAATCCTAGTACTAGGGAACTGGAGACAGGAGTGATGTGGCTGGCAGAGAGAGGAATATAAGGCAGGAGGAGACAGAAGCTCAGTGGAGTGTGGAGTCTGAGGGTGATGGAGAGCATTGCAGGAGCTCTCGCCTCTTTGAGTCTTGGCAGAGGTAAGAACTCTCTAGTGGCTTGGCTGCTTTGCTTTTCTAATCTTCAGTTTGAACCCCAATATTTGTCTTTGGGTTTTTATTATTTGTGCTATAGGCTGGGCTATACAAAGATACTCTATCAGGGCTGGAGAGACGGCTCAGAGGTTAAGAACGCTGGCTGCTCTTCCAGGAGTCATGTGTTCAATTCCCAGCAACCACATGGTGGCTCACAACCATCTGTAATGAGGTCTAGTGCCCTCTTCTGGCCTGCAGGCAAACATGCAGACAGAACACTATACATAATAAATAAAATAAATCCTTTTAAAAAAGATACTCTATCTCAAATACAAGAAAAAATTAAGTAATAGAATATAGTGGATAGCTGTTACTAATTATCTCCTCAAGAATGTTTAGTGGGGCCGAGCTAAATGGTAGTATATTGTATCTGCTTAGCATGTACTTGGGTTTATACTCAATACCACCGAAAAAGAAGTTGTCTAATAAAATCCTACCATGAACATGTAACTACATTAAGCAAAACACATACACATATATGTAACAGGTTTATATACAAATATGTTTGTTACTAATGTTTCTATATAAATGATTGTATATATTGTAATTGTAGTAAAATCTAAGCAATGTTTATATGTAAGGTGATAGAAGATATTTTTATTTTATTCCCCATATTTTTTGTTTTTTTATTTTTCTATCATATTACTAATTTTGTAATCAGGATAAAAGCTTGAAGTTATTGAGAGCAAATAACATATACCAAGGTAGTATATTTCTTGTTCTTGCAATTTGGTGAGTCCAAAATGAGACAAAACTTACTAGCCTTTTTCTGGTTACAGAATTTATTCATTTAGGTAAACAATTCACTATACTGAGAACCTATTGGAATAAATCGGCTAGGTACCAAAATAACACTGGGCTGGAGAAGCACTTATATTTTAAGAAAAAAGTGGTTACTAAACAAAACCACCAGATGCCACTATTGTTTCACCAAAAAGACTAAAATAGCCACTATGACTTTTAATTAACTCGATAAATGCTTTTGCCTTTTCTGGATAATAATTAAGTCTTAACAGAAGGCATAACCATATAAATAATTATATGTTCATGTCGCAAAAGGTCAACTGGAAGTGATGTGAAGGTTTAATTCCCACCAGTTCCTATCCAGGAACTAATGGAGTTGGAATGGAGACAAGATACACATTGTTATCAAGGAAAAAATTAGGGGGCTGGCAAGATGGCTCAATGGTTTAAGACACTTGTCAAACCTGATGACCTGAGCTTGATTTCGGAGGCCTCGTGGTGGAAGAAGAGAATCAGCTCCTAGAAGTTGTCCTTTGACCTCTGCACCTGTGCTGCAGCATGCATGTACTCAACATACTAAATAAATAAACAAATTGAAAATGTAATAAAACTTTTTTCTTTTAAAGATTTTATTTATTTTATGTATACGAGCGCTCTATCTGAATGCATGCCTTTATTCCAGAAGAGGGCATCAGATCACACCATAGATGGTAGTGAGTCACCATGGGTTGCTGGGAATCAAACTCAGGACCTCTGGAAGAGCAGCCAGTGCTCTTAACCACTGAGCCATCTCTCCAGCCCCAATAAAACTTTTTTAATTCAAAAAGTAATGTACTCAGCCGGGCAGTGGTGGCGCACGCCTTTAATCCCAGCACTCGGGAGGCAGAGGCAGGTGGATCTCTGTGAGTTCGAGGCCAGCCTGGTCTACAAGAGCTAGTTCCAGGACAAGAACCAAAAGCTACGGAGAAACCCTGTCTCGAAAAATCAAAAAAAAAAAAAAGTAATGTACTCATGCCGCAAAAGCTGAATTTATATTTTGAAATAGCAATAGTACATTTTTATTTTTGGTTTTTCGAGACAGGTTTCTCAGTAATACTAGAATTTTTGTTTGTTTTGTTTTGTTTGTTTTGTCTAGCTCTGACTGTCCTGGAACTTGCTCTGTAGACCAGTTTGGCCTCCAATTCACAGAGATCCACCTGCCTTTACCTTGTGAGTGCTGGGATTAAAGATGTGTGCCACTATGCCCAGCCAATAGCAGAATTTTAATGCTATTATATACCACTGTTTATGGGTTAAAATATATTCTTCTTTCCAAATTTAAATCTCAGCGACATATTTTCCTACACTCTCTCTTTTAAAAAAATTACTTTATGTGTATGGGTGTTTGTCTGCAAATGTATGTCTGAGCACCATATGCATACAATGACCTTAGAGGCTAAAAGAAGGTACCAGATCATCTAAAATTACATATGGCTGTGAACTGTCATGTGGGTGCTGGAATTTGAAGCCAGGTTCTCTGAATGAGTAGCCAGTGCACTTAACCACTGAGTTATTTTGCTATTTCCAACTGCAAAGTCTTTTTTTTTTAATATTTATTTATTTATTATGTATACAATATTCTTTCTGGCCTGAAGGCCAGAAGAGGGCACCAGACCTCATTACAGATGGTTGTGAGCCACCATGTGGTTGCTGGGAATTGAACTCAGGACCTTTGGAAGAGTGGGCAATGCTCTTAACCGCTGAGCCATCTCTCCAGCCCCAGTCAACTGCAAAGTCTTAACAGCTAATTTCTCCAGATATATGATAGTAATATTGGGCAGAGTGTGGTGGCATTGCCTTTAATCCCAGCACTTAAGGAGGCAGAAACAGGCAGTTCTCTCTGAGTTCAAGGCCAAGCTGGCCTATATTAGCAAGTTACAGAATAACCAGGGCTATATAAAGAGACTGTCTCAAACAAAACTGATGAACTTCATAGAGTTGTTTTACAGATTTTATATTACCACATTAATAACAAAGATTAGATAAATTATAACATCTCTGCATTAATAAAAACCTTGCAGCTTCCTTGGCTGCTGAGACCATATTTAAATAAGACAGGGATTCTGTTTCAGTAGCAAAGACTATGCTAGGTATAATACGTCAGGACATGGATCTTTTGACTCATGTCTAATTGGGGTCTGTCACCTACGAGAAGTAGACTGAGACATGTCACTTCATCCACTGAGCACTCATGTTTCTTATCTTTGAAATATTAGGGAGTTGGATCAAATGGTTCTTGACATGCCCTCCCCCCAAAACGAAACCTACTATGGGTTTATAAAACCTGTGCCACAGGAGAAATTTTTCTATTTTTACAGTGTGCTTTCCTGATTCAGCACTTTGCAGATATTAAAGTTGGGGGACAAAGGGCTGTAGCACCCATAGGTAACATCATTTAGCATGATTGAAGTCGTCAATATATGAGACATAGTGTTAGGCTATATGGATATAAAAATATGAGATGGTACCTTCTCTCCCTTCTAAGAGTCTGCAGTCAAACCGAGAAAGTTAGAGGTTGTTACAGTGCAACAGGATGAAAGCAGTTTATCTGAGGAGCTGTGGCAACACAGGATAAAGCAGACCTTAAACACGCTTTTGGCCAAGCAGTTTCAGGGATTTCAGAATAATTCAGAGGAACTTTTCTGATTTGTCTAGACCTGCTTCAGAATGTAGCTCTTCCTGAGCTATCCTTCAATAGTTAGACTGAATTTTGCCTCAAAGAAGAAATTTTCTAAAATACATAACTCCTGGGCTTGATAACTAACATGAAAATGAGAAGCAAACTGCCTATAGCACAACATAAAGATGGATTTTTTATGTGTGTGTGATACATCAGAAGAGATTCTCCTACTATTTAGCACAGATACTGTGTTTCAGTCTTATTATCTTTCCAAATTCCCTCTCCTTCTCAGTGATTTTCACGGACTCTTTCCTCTTCTGTGTAAGATGCTAGGCTCAGCTTTTCCAAATCCCTCAGCAGCTTTAAACCCCTGCCGCCTTTCTGCCCTTGCCAATATGCCTCATTGATCTGATACTCCCAAACCATGGCGTCATGGGGCTGGAGAAGACATGAAAAAGCAAATGCCAGCCTCTGTCATCAGTCAGTTCAAAGACCACAAATCCTCATCTGCTTACCAGACTCTCAGTAGTCAGCTCTGGCAAATCCTGGATGGTACAGCATGGGTAATCCAGTACCGAGATGCTGCAAGATGCAGAGACAAGAGACAAGCTTTAGGGAAAGGGCAGCAGCAGAAAATGGTGCCTCTGAAAAGGGCAGGAATTATTCCTCCCCAACACACTCCATGTGTCTCTCAAATTGCTTAGTGACCTCAGCTGAAATTGGGGGCAACTCCAACTCCAATCTCATCTCAGTCACAGAGGAACCATGGAGTTCTTTTAAGCTGCTCCTACATCATAGATGCAAAAAGAGTTAAAGCCAAAAGACAGCCCCTTTCCTTCTTAGGTCTCTTAGGTTCTTCAAGAAATACATAAACTTAAGTGCATCTGCCTCTGCATTTAACTGTGTATGTGAATATATTAATATTTCCAGAGATGCTGCCCACAGTCTACTAAATAATAACCTGTGAATATGAAGATGAAAAGATCGCTTGTGTTTCTCACCTGATCCTTCTGAAAGTCAGGAACTCTAGGGGTAACTGCCAATGCCACCCTAGAGAAAGCTTGAAGCACAGGGTAACTGATAGCATGGTTAATCAAACTAGCCCAAGTATGGTATAGAATAATGTCTGTCCCCAAACAGAGGGAATTACAGGGAAGCCACAAGCTCTGCAGTGAGCCCAGAGAATGGGGCTTGGGTCACGAAAGGAAATAAGATACCATATAATAATAGGGCGTGGTCAATAAGTGGATGTTTTTTTTTTCCCTCTCCGCTTTACTAGTACAATATAGAATTTGGGCTAGCTAATTCCTAATGTTCCTTCTGTTTTTAAAAGTCAATGAAATTTCAGCACTAATCTATCTCAACTAGTGCAGTTGGAGATAGGTGAAGGATGTTGACAAAGCCAGGGCTATCAATTGAGTATGAGCATTCTTGGGCCTGTCTCTAAATTTTGAAAGTCAAAATTTCTAAAAGCAAATCACTCATTTAGCTAGAAATTTACCATTGTTCAAGAAACCCAGGTCAAGATAACTTAGACAAACCAGGGTAGGAGAGAAAGATCAACTCAGGGAGGGAAGGGAATTTACCCATTCACTCCATCACCCTAACTAACTTGTCTGGATTCTCTGGATTGACTCATTCATCCACTTATCTACCTATCTCCCATTTATAAAGAACCATATAAAAACAGGTGCTGCAACTAGGAAATGGGGGCAGAAAATCAAGGATGGAATTTGCTATAATTGCTCTGCGAACTGAATTTTAGCTCTGTGATATAGTTAGAAGACGTAGTCTCATTTATATTAAAAGTGCAATTTCTGTGGCCCAGAGAAACTATCACCCTTAAAATCCAGGTTTTTTGGTTTCGGGCTTTTCAAAGGCAATGCACATGCAAGGCTGCCACTCCATGGCAGAATTTCAGCAGAGTCAATAAGCACTTACCTCCCCTCTCCTTCCCCCCTCCTTCCCCTCTCCTTCCCCTCTCCTTCCCCTCTCCCTCTCCAGGCAGAATTTCAGCAGAGTCAATAAGCACTTACCTTCCCCCTCCTTCCCCTCTCCCTCTCCAGGCACCCTAAGGAAGACATCAGTCTTTATCTACTTTAGGAACTCTGGTAAGGAATTCTGAGAAATTCTACTGACTAACATGCTATACTAGTTTTGTGGAAGCAAATTAAAGAATAAGGATCTACCCTACAATCCCCCAGTCCCAGATTAGCTGAAGAATAGAAAGCAATTTGTACTCACAGAAAAGCCTGTGTCTTTATTTAAAAGGTTAACATGTTAATCTTCCATGTGTGGTATACAGGATGTAGGTGTGCATATGTGTGTGTGTAGATGAATAGGCACATGTGAATACATGCACGTGGAGACCAGAGGTTGATGTCAGGTATCTTCCTCAATTACGATCTACTTGCCTTTTTGAGACAGGGTTTCATTAGACATGGAGCTCAATGACTTGTCTATGCTGGCTGGTCAGTGAGCTCCTCGGATCTGTATGTCTCCACCCTCTGAGTGCTAGAATTATACATGTATATTGACACACCCTACTTTGTATATGGGTTATAGGGATCAGAACTCAAGTCCTTATGCTTCTGTGGCCCATTACTCACTGATCTTTCTTTGAAGGTTCATATCTTGTTATTCTTGAGAAAACCAGTTCACCTCTCTGTGTTTGTCTCCTAACTGGCAAAATGAGAACAAAACTTATACTATCTCCTAGCATTGCTAAGATTAAGTGAAATTATGAATGTAAAATTATATTTTTTGGCCAGCACGATAGCTCAGCTTCTAATGGCAATACTAACAACCTGAGTTTGATCACCAGGACACTTACAGGGAAGAAGAGATGTAGGGATAAGTCCAGCCCCTTAGGGGGCGTGTTCGCCTCGGGCTAATGTTTACCTATAAATCTGGCGAGTGTGCTCCCAGCCTCTGTGGGAATGGTGTTTCTGTAAGTCTATTTCCCCATTAAAGCTGTATATATTTTTACAATCTGTCTGCATTCATTTACGCCGTTACATTAAAAACTGCACCCATGTTCCCAAATATGGTTTATAAACGTTCTTTTACATTTAAAGGGGGATATGATACAGGTATAAATAATTTGCATTGGTGTGCATTTTAAGGGCAATTTTGTTATATGTATATGTATTTCTGATATTGATTAAGGTATTGTGATTGTGTAGTTCATTTTTATTTTATTTTTTTTTAAAAATATTTATTTATTTATTATGTATACAATATTCTGTCTGTGTGTATGCCTGCCGGCCAGAAGAGGGCACCAGACCCCATACAGATGGTTGTGAGCCACCATGTGGTTGCTGGGAATTGAACTCAGGACCTTTGGAAGAGCAGGCAGTGCTCTTAACCTCTGAGCCATCTCTCCAGCCCCCTGTAGTTCATTTTTAAAATGTAATGTATAATTAGGAAATATAGGTTGTTAATGGATAATCATCAATAATAGTCAAGTTTGTAGTCATGTTAGTTAGATTTTCTAGATATATAAAGATATATTTCAGTTAGATAGGCATTCTTCATATCTTTCAAAGACTACAGAATATGGCATTTAAGTGTTTTAATAACTTAGGGCTTTTCATGATAATGAGACACGTCTGCTCCTGGCAGCACCAATCTACTTCAAGAGGAAGATGGGCATCGAAGAGGCTCCTTATGGAGTTTGATAGCCATTTGGGCAAGAAACTGCTCTTGCCTGGACTGATGCATAAACTGGACACAAAGAACCTGCAGAGAGAGGACTGCTGAACTTTCCTAAAGGTGAGATGGTCTTTCGGGGTTCCTGATTCATGAAAGAGTCTGTGAGACATTGCAGGATACAGCAGAAAGTGACTGAACTGTCTTTAAAATTTCCTGCTTCATGGAAAAGTCTGCTGGATACTATGGTCCTAAAGGCTGAAGATAGATGCCCCAACGGTACAGAGGAGCTTTGGGTGACTGTACAGGCAGCGAGATGTCTCTGTCATTTCTAGAGCTTTGGATTTCTTGTTTGCTTAGGTAATATTATATCCTTCTGGAGTCTTTGATGGAGTTGAAAAATGGTTAGTTATAGTTTTCCTTAGTTATGATAAAAGATAAAATAGATATAATTATTGTAAGTAATTCTTACTTGATAACTGTTTTGTTATATGTAATCTTACTATGTTAAAGTGAAAGCCTTTCTTTTTTGTTTAAACAGAAAAAGGGGAAATGATGGGGGAGAGTCTTCTGTTTTGTGTTAGTTTCATTGGTTAAATAAAGAGACTGCCCTGGCCCTTTAATAGGACAGAAAATTAGGTAGGTGGAGAAAACAGAACAGAATGCTGGGAGAAAGAAGCTGAGTCAAGGAGTCGCCATGATTCTCCCACTCCAGGCAGACACAGGTTAAGATCTTCCCTGGTAAGCCAGCTCGTGGAGCTACACAGATTATTAGAAATGGGTTAGATCAATATATAAGAGCTAGCCAGTAAGAGGCTGGAACTAATGGGCCAAGCAATGTTTAAAAGAATACAGTTTCCGTGTAATTATTTCGGGAAGCGGCCCACTGCTCCTATCACAGCAAAGAGAACCCAGTCTTGCAGGCTGTCTTCTGACCTCCACACCCATGCCTTGGCATGTGTGCACCCATACATATGCATGAACACAAAAATTTAAAAAGTAACAAGTTTAAAAAATGTATTTTAAACTACAAATTGATCTATCCAAGTAGAGGTCGTTGTTCACCGCTGACTACGGGTTTTGAACCCCTGGTGTCTGGTGGTTAGGATTCATGCTCTCATCATCATGAATTTTGTATAGCACTTTTTGTTTACAAAGCTGCGCAACTCTTCCAGTTACTGCAGCCTATGATTTCCATTAAGAGCAGAGCTGTTCAGACGAAAGGGCTGTTGTACAACACAAAATCTCTAGGTTCTTTCATCTCTGAAATTTCATCTGGTAACTAGATTTCAAAATATTTTTTCAGGTTTGGAATTATTAATATGTAAAGTCTACACAGAGAAGAAAATCACATCTTCCTATCAGTTAATACTGCAAGAGAACTGAATCTCACAGGGAAAGGTCTAAGAAAGGAAGGACTAGGGACGCCAGAAGAAATGAAAGGTGTAGAGATGGAGGGATTTTCTTACTCATTCCACAGTACCCCTTGAAGTCTGTCCAGAGTCCATACCTGTTTTTGGCAGTGATATAGGACAGGATATTTTGATTGAAGAACTTCAGGATCAAGGGGATGCAGTTGGCAAACACTAAATGTTGTGACACATATTCAAACTGAATGGAAAGATCAAAGCAGAAAAGTTTGCTTATTTGGGGGAAGATATAAAACATGTATGAGAAAAAAGAGATAGGGAAATACAAATATAGCGTCCATTCCCAAGGATAGCTACTGTCTACCGTGTTATCAGTCTGTAAGTCTCTGAAATGGGGACACTCATCTTCAGCCAGCCTATCTTACACGCAGGACAATCTGCAGTGGATGCTACAGCTCTTGATCAAAGCCACATAGCAAACACACTAGAAAGAAAAATATACCCCAGATAAATAGCAAGAATCGCTGTGAGTTTTGTTCCTAAGCTCAGTGGGAAAGAAAATCTCCCCGAGGAAGCTGGTTTCCACACCAAATCTCTGGCTCATGTTTCAGCTGTGATTGATATAGCAGGGACAGGTGCAACTAACTCTTAGCAATTGCTGGCAGCAGGCTGGAGACAGCACACAGTAACCACTGGAATGTAGGCTTTGGTAGTCTGTCCAGAATATGATGTTATCTCTAATACTTAGAATATCAAGGTATAAGTGAATGAGTGAACAAGAGTCTCTTCAGCCAGCTGACACTGCACTGAGATCTTCAGGATGTCTTTGATGAGATAAAACCACTACTTGGGCTTCCATTTGGCTCTCTTAAATCCATATGGGGTGGGCTGGAGAGATGGCTCAGTGGTTAAGAGCACTGTCTGCTCTTCCAGAGGTCCTGAGTTCAATTCCCAGCAACCACATGGTGGTTCACAACCATCTGTAATGAGATCTGGTGCCCTCTGGTGTGTGGGCATACATGGAGGCAGAATGTTGTATACATAATAAATAAATAAATCTTTAAAAAAAAATCCATATGGGGTTTGTGTCCCAGAAGACCTACTGGGGTAAGTAACCACAAAAGCAATGTTATAGAGTTAGTCACCCTGGGTTTTGTTTGTTATGCACTGAGAAGCACCAAGAAAAAAATTGCCTCCAAATTAGGAACTTAGAATGCTGGCAGAATACAGAAACAAGGCTGAAAAGGCAGAGAACTGTGGTGTTTTAAGCCCTTATCTCTGTGTCATCAGTGAGAAGTATCCATGTCCGCAAAGTGAGCTGCTTTCTGAGCCTGAATATGTGGCCAGAGGTGGGGAGTCAGCTTGGGCCACAATCACTCTCACTTCTGCTCAAAATTTTCTGAAGTCCCAGACAAAGGAGCCATACATATTTACTATCTAAAGATGGGAAGTTTTTAAAATTTGAGCCATGCCCAGCTTCTTTTAGGACTTACCCACACTGACATACACTGTGGCAAGGCCCATCAGGACATTCGTTGGTTTGGCTATAGATATATCTACTGCCCACTAAGAGCAACATTGAGAAACACACATTCTAGTGGAAGAGGGTCAGTGTCTCCTAACCACTCTGCTCCACCCAGTCCTGATGCTGCTCAGCAAACACAGGGCCACAGGCCCTGCAGCGACCTTCCCTGCACTCTCATATCAGGCTTTATTTTGAGTGCTTAGGTGGAAGATGGGACAAGAAATGAGAAGGGCAGAGATGAGAAGACTTCCACATTCTCAAGCTCTCCTTAAAGAAGCATCCATTTACTGGTCCTTGTCTTGTCCTTGTGTCTTGGTGACGCCCACAGGCTCTAGACAAACAATGTCTTTGTGGGGAAGCAAAGCAAAAAAGGTCTTGACTTTTAACTCAAGTCTCCTCACCTGTAAAACAGGGATAAGCTGGAGCACTCAGGAGGCAGAGGCAGGCAGATCTCTGGGTTCAAGAGCAGCCTGGTCTACAGAGTGAGTTCCAGGACAGTCAGGGCTACACAGTGAGACCCTGCCTCAAAACAACAAAACAAAAGCAAGCAAGCAAGCAAACAAAACCAGCCCCCACCCCCAAAGAAAAACAGGGATAAAGTAAAGTATCCTAGGGGTGAGAAGCTCACAAACGCTTTGTAGGATGTCAAGCACGTCATAGGTATTCCATAATTGTGTGCTATCAGATATATGCTACCTGCCAACCCCTGAGGCTCCATGCATTACCAGAACATCTCTATCATCTCCACTCTACAGCAGAACTCTAGCAACATTTAATTAGTTTCCAAAAATATTCTGTTCTTTCTCCTCTGGGATTTCACATATTAGCCTTTCTGCTTGAATTGGTTCTTATTCTTCCTTGATAACGCCCAGTTTCTGGATAATCTTCTTCTCTGGGACTCAGGTTAAAAGGCACCTCTTGTCTGGAATTGGTATTTCTACAGCATCTAGTACCCACCTGTATCACACCACTCTATAACTAGACATTTATGTATCTGTTACAAGACTGTAAGACCTGTAAAAGCCTGAATTGTCCTCATTTGGAACCATATCTCAAATATCAGAAAAGTGCTTCACAGACAGAAAAGCATCGTCAATATACCCAGTGACCTTTCTGGAATGGTTGAGTTGATTCTGACTGACTAGGAGTATTCTTAAGAATCCCTAGCTAACTTACAAAGAATATAGATTTTTGTGTCTTATCCTAGGATGGCTCCCACATCCCACTCCATATCCTCACCGTATACTCATGCAACAAATAGCTGGACTTTCTAATAGAGGTTAAAGGAAAGGCCAAAGAATGGTCAGCAGTGCAAGGATTCTTGTGTTGCCTCTCTAGGGCATGAGGAATACTTGAAGCTTGTGACACAGTACTCCTACCTGCTCACCTGGTAGATATGGTTGAGTTTGAAGTGTTTGAGCAGTAGAAGGAGCAGGGCAGAGATACTCTTTACGATGATCTCCTTGTGCCTGTTCACATCAATGCCCAGCTTCATGCTCTGGAGAACAGTTATGCTACAAGGGAGAGATGAAACATCAGTATAAAGGTGCTGATGGAGGAAGGCCTAGAAAGAAAAACCCAAGTATTTGGGCTAGATATGATATAGATATATATGAGGATCAGGACTCAGGAAACTTGAACTTTTGTGCTAGGGAAACCTACGGAGCTCCCATTTAGAAATCTGTCCAGGAAAAAGCTTCCATGATCTCTTTTTTGATGTGTCCTCTCTCTGATAAACTTACCCATTGGCACTGTCAACCCATATATCTGGCAATTAGTCACTGGGACTGAGGTTATCTGTTGGACCCTAGTTCTGAATTACACAGTAAGAGGCCCTGCAGGGGACAGGAGGTACACGCAGAGAAGGAGAGATTTCTTTGAAGACAATTCTGTGTTAACAGAGAGGCCCTGAAGACAAGACGCTGGTGTCTAGCAGCTGCCCCAGTGGAAGCACTCACGGCATCTCTTCAGGCAGGACATCTGCTAGAATATTGATAGAGTCTGTCTTAGCCTTGGAGGTGGGGGCTGCAGCCAGCAGAATCTTAAGCAGAGCAATCTGGGAGATAGAAAAACAAGAAACGCACCCATGTCTATCCCACTCAGTAAAACAGTGGCTTCTTCTTAACCTCTCTAGACCAATGAAAGGTATTTCAAAGCTTATCTAAGATTTTCCTTCAGTGACTAAGCCTTGCCAGTGTATAGGATGCAAACAAGTGTTTATCCTGATGCTTGTCTGTGAAGCCAAGGAGGGAGGCCAAAGCAAGCTTCTAGGCTGTTTTACTTTTGGATTGAAGCTTCTAAAGGGAGCACGGAAAGAGCAAAGTGGGAGGGGCAATGCAGAGAGATAACATTCTCCCCTAGTTTTCTTCTTTGTCAGCATCTTCACCATTCCTAACCAGAGACTACCAAAGACACGGCAGACAACGGCAGAACTCACGATAGTGGTAATTAGCTAGCAGAAAGGACCTGATGCATCATATGTAGACTTTACTATTCTGCACCCCTGACCCCAGTAGAAAGGCTAGGGAGAATGGCACCCAAAGAGAAGCCACAAGGAAAGTTCAGAATTCTACATTCCTCTTAGCAGAGAGGGAAGCTATGGCCCAGCCTGCTCTTACCATGTACTGAGGGAGGCTGTACAGCATGCCCTGGTAGAGAATTTCACATGGTGTTTCTGGTACCACCTCTTCTCCCTACAGCAAAAACAACAACAAAACCCTCACAGATTACCCAGGCTACGTTGCGGATACTCCAGGACACATGTTGGTTGGTGAGAACTGCACTGGGTGACACCCCTGGGAGGCTGTCCTAACTGTGTTAATGATTCATTATTTGGTTTAGGATGAGTGACCATTCCTCTTTAGGCTCTAGTTCTTTTTCTTTGAACTGGCTTAAGTGATCTTTGATATCTTTTTCCAGTCCCCAAAACCGCTGAGTCTAGTTTTCCTGCTATCTTCAATTAATCACACTTTCCATGTCACATGCTCAATCAGGAGTCAGAACTCTAGCCTAGAAGTGAGGTTAGACCACTGCTTTGGTACACGTACACACACACACACACACACACACACCATCCTAATTCATTCACATGGGGTTAACCTAGGCTATAATACACCTGACACGTTGAGATACCCTACACAGAGGCACTTCCATGGTGTTAATCAAAGATCAACCAAGAACTTGAGTTTTTCTATGATCTGGAAAGGGGGGAAAGAAAAGGTAGGCGATTCAATAGGGATAGAATTAAGTAACTCACAGTCAGAGAAATGAGATGAGTATTAACAAGGAAGCTTTTAAAGGGTTGGAAACTAATCCCCTCTCTAGTATCCTCATCAACATCACTTTCCTAAGAGGACCATGTATATCACCGTCTTCTTCATGATCCCTGTGAATCCCTTTATCAGAATAGGGGAAGCAGGGGTCCCAGATGCTCAAGAGGCAGCCCAAGCCTCACTGAAATCTTTGGGCAATGTGGTCCTTTTTTCCCTTGAGACCCCCTATTACAGGGCAAGAGTCACTGTCATAAGACTTGGAGGCAAAGGGGAATAATTGGGCCAATGGATACAAGTCTTCAGTGCCAGGCATTCAAGAGAGCCTGGTAACTTTGCATGTGCACTTACCTGCTCCCCACAAAGCCTACTACTTGCTCTTTTCAACAAACCCCCTCAAGTTGTTGGCTCTGCCTCACAAAAATAGAGTTATCAGACAGATAAACTACATCTCTGGAATATCAGATCTGCCAGTCTCTACTTGCTTTCTGACACATCAGATGACATTCTGTGTGTAGAACATAAATCAAGCCTCTACTTGGGCTTGGGATCCCGTATATAGTTTCAGAGGTTTCGTCCATTATCATCATGGAGGGGAATATGGAGGTGTGCATGCACACATGATGCTGGCTACATCTTATTCAGAAGGCAATTGAAAGTGGACTGACTGTCACACTGAACAAAACTTGAGCAAAAGAGACCTCAAAGCCTGACCCCACAGTGACACACACACTTCCTCCAACAAGGCCACACCTCCTAATAGGGCCACTCTCTTTGGGGGGGCGGGCATTGTCTTTCAAACCACCACAGATTTCCCTGGACCTAAAGTTACAGACGGTTATAAGCTGCCATGTGCATGCTGGAGATTGATCTCAGGTCGACTGGAATAACAGAAAGTACTCATAGCCACTGCGTCACCTCTCCAGCCCATATACTCTTTCCTTTCTCTTGACAGAATCCATCAGATCTTTAGTAACTCTGATCATTTCATTTCATTTTTCTTTTCCAAACAGGGTCTCAAGTGGGCCCAGGCTGGCCTCTAACTGGATAAATAGCTGAGGAAAACCTTGAGCTCATGATCCTTCTGCCTCTATCTCTCAGGTCCTGAGATTACATAGACACCATAGATTTTCACGTGTTAGCATGAGACTCTCCCTTTATCCCACATCTTCCTCCTGCTACCATCCCATTTTTCTCTCCTTCTTAACAACACTTGTTGGTTGTATACTTCTTTTCTTCACATTCCTTTTCAGTGTGCATGGCTTTCTGCCATTTCTCTGTGATCATTCTTAACCCAGTTACCAATCATCTTAATCCTGCCCAATCCAATAGGCCCTTCTGTTCTTATCACGTGCATCTCTCAGCAGCATTTGACCCAGGCAGCCACGTATCAGATTTCTAGATTTTCTTCCACTTCATTGGGTATTTTTCTTACTTTTTGTGGCTTCTTTCCTAACTCATTAATTCCCCCCTTTAATCCATTGGCGTGTCTCAGGGACTTTCCTTGGGTTCTCTTTGTCTTTTCTACAGTACTTAATGCTATAACATCAATGACTCTCCCTAGAACTCTAGACCTCTACATCTAACTTCCCAACAGCTCTTCCCAAGTATATAACGGACACCTAAAGCTTAGTAGACCAAACAGGATTTTTCATACTCCTCCTATTTTCCAGGTGACACTTATTCTTGATTCTTCTCTTTGCCTCTTGATAAATGTCTAATTGAACTGCAGTCCTGTCAACCATACTTTCAAAATATCACCCAAATTCACCTACTTTATGACCCTAGTTTAGGTCACATCAACTTCACTTTAACTATTTTGAGTGAGTTAATGCCTCCTCTCTTTGTTTGGTCTGATCTTTGCTTAATTGATGGTGTTTTTTTAAAACCAAAGAACAATGCCTTTCTTCTGCTTAAAATCTCCAAAGGTTGCCCTTTGCACCATGAATCAACTTCAAGCTTCCTACCTCTGCTAACAGGTCCTACCTAACGTGTCCCCAGGCCACCTGTCTGAAGTCATCTCCACAACCCCACCCTTACCCATGGGTTGTTACAACAGCCTTCTTTTGCTGCCTCTTGTTCTCTGTGCCTGCTTCTTCTACCCAGATTCTACTTGGAATGTTTTCTTCTCAGATGTTCCTATGGCTGGCTCCTTCCTGTACTTCAGATCTAAGTTAAATGTCACCTTCTTAGATATCTCATCTATCGCAACTGCCCAATCCAAAATAGCCAACAGATAGTTTGATGTTATCCTATTTAAATTATCTCCATGGGATCTACCACTCTGTTTAACTAACTCCCTTCCCAGCTTTACTATAGTGTGCCTTTGTCTTCTATAACACACAGTGAGAGCCTAACAAGATGAATGGGTGCACACACAGTGCATGTTCTGTATCAGCACAGCAGACAGAGCTCATTCGTCCTTCCTCCTATATGCCAGAGCCCTTAACTTACCAAAGACATGGGGCATTTCTCCAGTTCCTCTTCATTCTTGATCTGTATATCTGCAATGGAGATATACTTGTGCTGGCAAAGATAAGAAAACATCAACAAGGGTTGAGAACCTAATTCACACGTGTCCCGGCTCTTCTGTAACTTTCCTTGTTCATAGGAAAATCTCCCAAGGGTTTATCATCCCAAACAGACATGAAACCTTTGGAAGCAAGACTCTATTCTCTTCTGCATAATTACCACTGGGCAGCACTTCATAAACAATGTTTCTGGGCATCACATTCCCATACTTGTCGGATACTAGCAAATACCTAGTCATTTAGCCTTAAAGAGCAGGGGGAAGTCAAGAGTAGACCTTTGCCCAGACAGGTTTGATGTGCATGCATGTGTGTAAGGAGTGATGACTCCACATTCTTTGTGTTTAACATAACTGGATATAAAGATGATTCCTACCTAGTCTTTGGGCTTTAGAAGCTAGTGAACCTATGGGGAGATAAATACAAGAAAAGGAAACAGAACGGGAAAGGAGAGAGAAGGATAGAAGGAGGGGAAAGGAACAAGAGAAAGGAATTGTTTTCTCATTGATCTGAATGTAGGAAATTGGGTAAGTAGAGAGACACCTGACTTCCTATCTGGCCTAAAGGCCTGCAGAGGGGATGTAGGAGGTCCTGGATATATCTGGAAGAGTATGCAAGGTAGTGGTAACCTGACTTAACTGATGACTCCCTATCCCTGAGGAATGAAAGTCCACCCTGGTCACCTGCTTTAGAGTCTTCACACTCTCGTGGATGGGTCGAGGTAGTCCAACCAAGGTATCTGTGTCCCTGTAAGATCCCAAAACACCAGACCATAAGCTTAACAGAAGAGAAAACTCCATGCACTCTGAAATCACAGGGACCACACATTTTAGCATCTATCCCTGGTACCCTATGCCTTCTTATATAAAGTTCCTGGTCCATCATCTTGCTTAAGGTCACAAAAGTAACAATGACACACAGAAGCCTTTCTGAAAATTAGGAGATTTATATCATATAGTCTCTTATAGTCACTTGACCCGCAGATAACAGATTGCCACTTAAAGGAATATGTGACCTAATGACACCTCTGACAATAAAATCTCTTCTAGCTTTACAAAGGCTAGTGGGGAAGATTCATGGCCTTCTATGACATACATTATTCAGTTTTGAATATCTAGTACTTACTGCCCCAGGGTGAATCCAATGAACTTATTTCTGCTTATCTCCAAGAAGTGTTCAATGTCCTTCTGTCTGAGATGATGGCAAAGAGACCGATACCAGAGAGAGGAAGAAAGCAAAACAGAACAACCTTGAGAAAGAAAACCTTTCAGGGCTCCCGATCCTTCATTTGAAGGACTAGAGCAGTGGAAGAAGACAGAAATCAACAGAAGGCACTTTAAATCCATGAGTTCTGATCAGCACACCAGGTTAAGGAACACTGAATATGTGTGCTATCCCATCCACCACTGAAGAAATTGAAATCCCAAAGCTCAGGGTCACTGGTGCCATTAAACCTACCTGACCTTTGGGGCCCAGGGAAGGCCTTTGGGAAAGGCTACCCGGTCAGTAGACAGAGGTGTCTGTGAGGGTGGAGGTGGCACCAGAGGGTCCTGTTCCAGTAGGTCTAACTCTCCATCCAAGGCTCGTTCTCCATCACCTGCAGGCTCCTCTTCTTCCTCTGTGGCTGGTTCCTCAGTCTTGAAGAGATCCCTTTCATTGTAGATGTCCAGGCTGTCTTGCTTGGTGAGGAGTTGCTGGTGGTGGTGGGAGAGAGGAATTAGATAGGGCGTATGGCAACCTTGTCTGAAGTCACTCTCTCTAGACTTCAGGAAACCCACCTACTATGAGAGCATGCCATTATCCATCACAATCTTACAATTCACTGAACTCAAACGTAGGAAAAACAGCTCCCGGGAAAAATGGCCGTGGCCAGTAAACAGAGCATAGGTAGTGCCAGTGTGGTAGCTAGCCAGCTTCCAGAAAGCACTGGTACTCCCTCCCCACACCCATACTTCCCTCCCTAATTATGCTCTGCTTAGGTGAACATTCAATGAGTTTGCTTTCTGTCAGCACACACCAGCTGGCTGACTGATGAAGAAGAGGACACAAGCTTGCTGTCACTGAGTTTAGAATGCTAAATCTTATTGCATAAAGAAAAAAAGATCGGACAGAAATAGGCCAAAAAGTTAACAGTCACTGCCTCTGGTTGTTAAGCTTGTGGGTGATTTTTCTCTCTTCATCACATTTTTATATTTGTTCCAAATTTTCTACAATGAGTAAGCATTACTTTATGAAACATGAAAGGTTTAAAAAAAATCATACTGCCTACAGTTTAGACCAGCTTGTGTGGCTCCATCACCTTTAATTGGTAAACTCTGGGAAGTCAGGCAGGTGAGTTCATGCAAATATGACCGTGGCCCAATGTAACTTACTTAGATTTTCTCAGTAATATACACTAACCCGCCATCTCACAAGTGTAAGCTTGTGTCCAAGGCTAGAAGGAATATTGTGGCTCAAAATAAAACTTCTTGCTGCCAAGAAAATGGTAAGTGATTCATGATAGACATGTGGGTTTGCTAGGTGCTCTTTTCAGGGTCCCTACTCTTAGAATTCTAACATAACCTATATTTAGGAGGCTAAGCAACTCTAGTCACTGAGGTTCAGATGAATAATACATGGCCAGGGGCCACCTCGGCTACAGAGCCAACCTGGGATGGTCATTTACTGCCCTTTCCTACCACATCGAAAGCATCTTAGAATCTTGATTTTTGACCAGTCAGTACCCCAATACTACCATATGCTTGGTCCATACCCTTCGAGAACCACGGCGGCCCCGCAGCTTGGACGGTGGAGGGGCCAGCTGAGACTCCCCCAGATCAAGAGTGTAAGAAGGCGGGGAGGCAGCACGCATGCTCTTTACGACCTGGATACTGTCCTCAGCAAGTGGAGGCAGGCCCAACTCTGCACGCTTCTGTATTTTGAGAGCCTGCAGATGCTCAAATCCACCAAGTGTAAACTAAAGAGTAAAAAGGAAAAGGGAGGTTATCCAATGCCAGCTGGTCAGCCCTGAGCATGTTGTGTGTGTGTGTGCGTGTGTGTGTGTGTGTGTGTGTGCGTGTGTGTGTGTGTGTGTGTGTGCGTGTGTGTGTGTGTGTGTAACTATAATTAAAGAAAAAGGGGCCATGGATTTCAGAGAGAAAGAGGAGTAACAGTGAGTTCATGGAAGGCAAGGGAAAAATGATGTAATTTTATTGTAATTTCAAAAAAATTGTTATGATAAAAGGAGGAAGAGAAGAGAGGGGAAAGGGAGGGCAGTCATAGAGAACAAAGCCAAAGAAACATGGACAGAAGGAAGGAACCACAACTTCCAATTTCCTCACGCTGCCCCTTGAACAAGGAAGCAGAAAAGCTGAAGAAATAAACATTGTCACTACTTCAGTCTGAGGATCTCTAGGGTCAGAATAAAACACAGCATTATTTACTGACTCGGGGCTGGAAACAAATCTAAACATTAGAGGAGAGGGGGCTCCACTGGAAAAAGTTAAAAATAGGAGGCAATCCTTCCTTTGTTTTGTTTCTTGAGCAGGGTCTCAATGTGTGGTCAAGCTGGTTTAATTGAAGATTAAACTTCAATAGCCTCAGTCTGTCAAGTGCTGGTTTTATAACCATGTGCCACCCTCCTCGGCACATTCAAATGTTATTATGTCCTAGGGTCACAGAGTTTCCTCTGTAATCAAGAGGTGGCTCACTAAGAGGGTATGCTGTTCCTCCAGCCCTATGGGATGGGAGCCAGAGAGAGACTATGGGGTGAAGGATCAGATTAAATAATAAATAACACATTATTAACTATACACTTGTAAGGACACCCTTCCTCTATTGGAAGAAAAGGCATGCATTAATCTTAATATTTCATAGCTACAGAAACAGGCGCAGGGCTGTCCAAGGTTCACTGGTATGAACAGTCAGATTCCCAGCGGTCAGCGAGGGTTCTTTCTATGGGAAAGGTGCCGTTGACATCTTCAGCTCATGGAGTCGTATCCAAGAGATCCATCCAATAGAAAGAGAAATCTGATATACAGAGCAAACAGACTCTAGCGGGCCTTTTGTTTCTCTCAGTTAACTGGGCTAACAGTTGGCCTATTCTGCTGCCTAGCTCTGATCAGGTGAGATAGGAACAGAGATCAGTCACTCACCATAACCACCTTCCAGAGCAGAAGCAGAACCTTCTTTATTGGAAAGTGAGGGGCCATGCCACTGCAGAATTTGGTAACCATGGAAAAGAGCAGGAGGGCAAAAGGCTCTTCGTTATGTGTGGAAAAGCCTGAGATACAAAGAGAATCAAGAGAAAGAGATGAAGTAGCTGACATCCTGTCCTAGATTCATGAATTGGAGCACACACTGAGGAAGGCACTCACCTCTCCTGTAAGCTTCTAGAGCACTCTGTCTTGAGAAGGAGGCATGGTGAGCCTCCTTCCTGAGGGAATGCCCTCAGAGGACCGGACTGAGGCTATTGTGGTAAAATAGTGTGCCCCCACCCCAGAAGTTACTAAGGCAATGCTTTCAGGGTCATACCAAACAGGGAGTAACAGTAATGATGTGGCTTTCTGGTTAAAGGAATCAAGGTTATTTCGTGGACCACACTTCATTCTTTTCTTATTTACATTAATAAATATATTTTTTAAATGCTTTCACATCCTATCCCTCTCAGATGACCACTTCAACTTACATTAGAACAAAGTTCAACTCTTTTTTCCCCCAATATGGGCTTCATGATAAAATGGGAGAGAAACGATTATCCTCATTCTAACCAGGGGAACTAAGACACACAGGGGTGCAATCACACCCAGCCCTCATGTCCCATAAAATATATGTGTCTTAAAAAAAGAAAATATGCTAATTTTAAAAAGAAAAAGAACAAAATAGAACTGCTTTTCTCTGCTGGGCTTCCCGCCACCCTCAGTACTCTACACCCACCCTCCTCAGGTGCCACTTCTTACTTAGTTCAGTTCGGAAAGTCTCTCGGGCTGTCCTCCACCCACGGGGGTCTATTTCTCGCTCCAGGCGGATATTTTCCACCATTAGGTACATGACACTCAGCAGCACCCTGGAGTCACAAAGGATCATAGGAGATTCCCAAGGCAGTTACAGTTACAGACATCAAGGATGACATCAGTGCGCGTCTGATCAGAGCAGGTTAGTTAAAAGGTAACTTCTCACTCATCCGGGATTTGGAAAAAGGGTAACCGTGCTAATCACCCCTCTGTCCAAAGCCCACGGTTGCCCTCACTCACCTGAGCTCAGTGCTGTCAGCAATGGAGACAGCTGGTTTCCGAAGGGCACTACTAGAGGCCTGGCTGTTGCTGCCATGGAGAGGAAAGAAAGAACAGGAACCCATAAGGCTTCTTTCCTCCTTGTGTTCTCACTCTTCACACAAACCCCCGCCATTCCCAGGCTATGCATCCACAATAAAATAGGAACACCTGCTACCTCAGTAAATCCTCAGCTATGGTGAAGACAGGAAAAGATAGGGTCTGTGATATCAATTTCTCTTGTGATTCCCCACAATGCTTACCCCTGGGCTGAACACAAAACAGATACCAAGCAGTCTCTGATAAATAATAAACAGACTTCAATGCATCTAAGACTCCGGGATGGCAGGCACAAGAGAAAGAACGTCCAGTGCAGTGGCAGCAGATAAAGCCACATCGACAGTTACAGCTCACGAGGGAAAGACTTAGGCACACTGATAGAAACTGGTCTGTTCCTGTGTGTTGTGCTTATGATGGGAAAAGTTTCCTTTATTAATTCCAGAGTTAGGCTCAGCTGAAAAGTTGCTTAGATTAAAAAAGTAATCAAACCAGGCTAGGCCTGTGAAGCCCAGGATTGTAGCTCAGGGAGAAGAACAATCCGGAAAGGAAGTTGGCAGGGGAAACCGCCAGTGAGTGTAGAGGGGAGATGTGAGTGGAGTCAGCTTCCGCAGGGGGACCCACTGATATGTGAATCCTTCCCCTAAAGCTTCTCACTCGATTTCTATGTGGAGGAGCTCCAGGAAGGTCGAGAAGGTCCCCATCTGATAGAGCAGGAAGCAGTTGTATCTGGACCAGTGTAGCACATCCACCTCCGAGTCACATTCCCCGAAAGTACCTAGAGGATCAGACAGTTCCTGTAATTGGGAGGGAGCAGCTACCCCAGTTCTTTCTACCCTGTCACATGATTTAAATTTTTATTAATACTTTACAGACTAATGAGGCTTATAGAGATTGGGCAGGGCCCATGAGAACTTCCTTAGATGAGTGAGCCAGTGGAGAAAGGGGTCGTCTCCCAGGTGAGTCGTAAATCACCCCGAGAAGTAGGTTTCATGATAAGGATTCAAGCGTATATGTATAGTCGGTTTGGGAATGGATCTTCAGAAGAGAAACAGGGGGAATAGGGAGGGAAGGAAGGCAACTGAAAGAGTTCAGTAGCAGGGGACTTTCTGGAAACAATACAAAATACACAACTCAGAGCTATCTCTCCCAAGAGTGAGATAATCAAGATTATCTTCTCAATCTTGTTAGTCATTTTTATGAGGACTGAGTATATTAATTCTTCCCGCTTCCTGACTGCCCATTGTGGGTTGCAGACAAAGCCCTTACGCAAAAGGATCTTTGTATTGGCAGCTGGAAGTTGCTCAGAGCCTCAGACCTGAGCAATTCAAGAAGTACCACCTTATTTACTGTAGTCTTCCCTTCCCTAGTCTTTTCTTCCCATTTATTGTTCTTTTCTGTTTGTTTTCTTATAGTTTAATTCCCAATCTGTTGGTTTGCCAGAAATCCTCACATGTGTGATCTTAGAACTTATTTTCATTACTCTAGCAAGACTTATATTCAGTGTTCCTTCCAACACCTGGCTAACAGGTTTCTTCTGGGAAGCTTTACCCAATTCATCTCATTTAGTTCTGGTTATCTCCAAATTACTCCCAGCATCCCCTCCTGCTGCTGCGTTGGCCTGAATCTTCAAAACGCCAATGAGAAATCTCAGTGCTGGTGCCAGGGCACAGCTGGTGAAAGCAGTATCTGTGTTAACTCTGTTGGTGGTACATCATCAGCTCTCCCTATGTGGACTCTTGCCAATCTTCACACACACTTAAAGCCCAGATTAGAGGGGGGAAATTAACACAAGAAGTCCTGACATGCACCGGGTATGATGACTTAAATCTGTAATCCTAACTTAGGAGGTAGAGGCAGGAGGATCAAGAGTTCACAATTGTTCTCAGAGGAAAAGAAAGAAAAGAAAAGAGGGCCAGGCATGGTAGTACACATCTTTAATCCTAGCATTTGTGAGGGAGAGGCAGATGAATCTCTGTGAGTTCAAGACTAGCCAGAGCTACAAAATGAAACCCTGTTTTTAAAGAGAAAAAAGGAAGGAAGAACCTGATGTGAGTGGTAAGATAGAGGCAGATCCCAAGAGATCCAGAACAGTATCCAATGCTATCTCTTGATCTACTCCTAACATGGCAAGACCTATGACTGTGTTGTAAGGGCACCTTGCTTTCCTGGTAAGGTCTGCTTTATCCACTGCCCTCCCTAGTTTCCACCCCTATCAAATCAGCAAAAATAAACACTTACCTTGGGCTAGATAGAGAACAGCCCGGGCCACCTTAAGCCGTTGTTCCCTACTGACCACCTCCAGTCGGTCCAGAAGACCCATCACATAGGTCTTTTGGGCATCTTCTTCCAACTCCAGCCATTCCTTAGCGTCTTGCACTACGGATAGAAAGCCATACACAGCCGATGTTGGTTACTGCCACTTCTTCCTGGAGAGGGCCCTGATAATACACCCACCTCTGTTCTCGGTTCCCAAAAGATTCTTTTCTTCAAAACCTTTTCTTATTTAAAAGTTTTGGATTCTTTTTTTGTTTTGTTTTGTTTTGTTTTTGGTGACATTGAGGATTGAACCCAGGGCCTTTCACACACTAGGCAAGCTCTACCTGTAAACTACGTTCCTACCCCAAGCTTTCCTTATTTAACTAGGAAGACATAAGGGATATATAGGAAAAGGACCCAAAATGTCCTAATCTGAGCCTACTCTGTCCCCACATTGTCACCATTCCCACTTTTGTCCACACAGTAAATTCTGCTCTCAGCCTATCCTCAAGGAGTCCCTCTGTCTCCATCCATATCCAGCGCCTAGTCACCCTCCAGGCCCGGTAAAAGAGGCCCCTTCCACACCCATGCCCCAAACACTCTTTTGCTTTACCGTGACATTTCAAATTCTCCTCCGGGCCTTGGCTACTTGTGTGCTACGCACTCTCTGCCTGCTATCAGACTATGCACCTTATTTGTAGACGCTGCAAATTACTCCCAGCTCAGCCTCCTGCAACTCTGACACAACACATACTCACACACTGCACATTTGTTGAATTAAAAATTAAATTACCACCGAGAAAGTAAGGAAACAGATCTGAAGGGATCACGATGAGGGCATATAAAACTACTGCTGGCAGGGAGTGGAGTGAGAGACAGAAGCTACACGTTAAGGACTAGGTTAGGCGCATGATTCCATTGGGCTGTAGGGTATTAGTTCAGCCTGCTGAGCCATCCCTCTTACTTTTCTTGGTTTCACCTTCTCTGTATAAGGAAGTCTGTGTTCTATATGCAAGAAATGAGGGGTATGTGGTTGTGAAGGGGATGAAGAATCAAACTTGAGCCTTTCACTGGGTCAGACTGGGACATCTGTGACTAGGGATGCAGCAGCACCTTGAGTTCTGAAATCCTCTTCAAAGCATCTCCTGTTGGTGGTAAACTCCAGGTTCTCTGTGTAGCTGTATAATTCTGTTACAGGAAGACAAAACAGAGTCACATTTAGAAACCCCACGAAGAATCTAGAATAGAGAGGCTCACTCGAGGGAGCTGAAGGGTCCAACACATTCTTGTGTCCAATTCAATCTAGAGCCAGTTCCTCCCTTTCAGAACAGCTAAAAATAGCATGTGTGTCCCTGGGTGATTAAACTATCAAACCTGTCCTCCTGCCAGATGGCTGGCAACAGAGAAGGAAGACAGCCTTCGACATTTGGTAAGGGCCAGGGGGAGGGCTGGAGTACAGGGGGTTTAATGCCATCATTTGTTTCTTAGGGCTGCAATCTACTCAGTTCTGTCAACCCAGGTTAAAGCTATACCATCTTTAGGGAGAGAAGGGCAACACAACTCGGGAGCTTAGAGGAAAGATCTGTGCTGTTTAGGAAGCCAGGACAAGTGCTAGAAAAAACCAAAACAAACAAACAAACAAACAAAAAACCACCAAAAACTACATGCTGGTTGGAAGCCAGTTTGTTTTCCCTATGCTGAGTTTCCTTGAAAGGTACAGAAATTTAGGTTCCTACATATGACTACCTGGGCAGATGATGTGGCAAATCATGTGAGCACCTAAGGTTGCCAAAAGATTTTGTGTTCAGGAAAATCTAACCTTATTGATTGCAGCCTCTGACTATAAAACAAGGAAACAATGTTCCCTGCCCCTCCAGCACCAGAACATTCACTCTGCACCCTCATTTCACAAATGATTTTAAATCAAACATTATCTCAAAACTTATTCCACCTATATCATGAAGTCATAGAAATCTATGTACATTCTAGCCAATTAGCTAAAGATTGAGAACCACTTGGAAGTTAAAACTCTTAAGTCTTGTGTCTCAGAATCTGGGGACAGCCAGAAACAAATCTCAACTTTGAATCTTAGGTATGTCAATCATTAATTTGTTAATGGAAATGTGAGTATACGTGTATGCATTTATTTAGATCAGAAAAATCAGGAAAGTCTAGTCAGGAATGTAAACAGTGCTGAACTTTGTCCTTATTTTTAAAATGTTAGATAATGAAATTTCATATACAGATAATTATAAAACACATTTAAGATAGTCATGAATCTTCTACTCAGATTAAACAAATGTAACGTTTGCCATATGTGCTCAGACCACTCTCCAGCCTTATTCCTTCCTCGGGAAATAACTGCTACCATGAATTTGGCATTCATTCCTCACATGCTCACTTTTAGATTAGTACTACATATGTATGTCCATAAACAATATACCAGGGCTGGAGAGGAGGCCTAGCAGTTAACAGCACTTGTAACTCTTGCAGAGGACCAGGTTCAATTCCCAGCACCCATATGTTAGCTCACAACTATGCTTATCCCCACATTCAGACCACACACATAGTACACATATACATGCATGCAGGCAAAACATTCCTACACATCAAGTAAAATGAATCTAAATTTAAACAATATATCTGTCATACTCTTCTATTTTTAATCTTAACATTATCATAAATTGTATAAATTCTTTTTGCCATTGCTTCTTTGCCTCAGCTTTGTTGAGTATTTATTCATACTGAAATATGTTGATACAAATCAATTATATTAATGGTTATATGCAGACTATGATTACACGCTAGTTTATCTATTCCCTTGCAGATGGGGCTTTAAGGTTGTTCTTAACTTTTCGTAATTAAAAACAAGGCTGAAATAAATGCTTTTTTGTGCTCAAGAATAAAGTTCTTTAGATAATTCATCTAGAGATAAAGTTACTGGGTCATAATATGTGCACATCTTCAATTTTATTAGATATGCCCTAATTGCTTTCCAGTTTTATACTCTGCACCTTCACACTGCTACACATACGCAGTGTAGAAACATGCTTACTAATCCCTCACTAACTTGGTGTGTATGGGTATGGGTATATGCGTGCCATACTGCACATATAGAAGTCAGTTCTCTTCTTCCACCACCATATGGGGCTGAGGTTGAAACTCAGGTCATGAGGCTTGGTGGCAAGTGGCCTTACCTGCTGGGTCATCTTGCCCGTCTTCAAATCTTAGAGTCTGATGATTGTGAGATAATATTCTGTTTTTTAAAAATTCACTTCCTTCATTAACTAATAAACTTGAACATCTTTTCAGATACACACACACGCACTTTCTTCTGTGGTGCTGTGGCCTCATGCACGGCCCTTTAAATATTTACGGACTTCCTGATTTTCTTTTCTGCGAGTTTATATTCTTTGTCTACTTCTCTTTCAGGTTAGTCATCTCTTCTTTGTTTATCTGTCTTTCTCTACACGTTCACATTCTAGATTCTAATCCTTTGTTCATTATTAAACCTAGCTATTTCTGTCACTCATTGCAAAATTTATTCCCTGGGCTTATTCACCAGAACTTCTGCAAAAATGTTTGTCTTTTTGTCTGAAAAAGCATGTCTCAAAGTGTCATTTCCATGTGACAGAATATTTAACTTTCACGCCATCTCCACCCGAAGCTCATTTATTAATAACTAGCATTCACAGCACGTGTAACATGGAGGCCCTTAATGTGCGGAGATCACGCTTGCCCTAGCTAAAATTCTAGACAGGGAGAAGCAGCCCAGAATTGAAAAGGGAATGGGACCACTCAACCCCAGCTCACAGATATCTAAGGCAGAGCTTGACTGTGACTGATGCAGGTGATGTCCAGCCTTACTCAGCCGGCCAATTACCTATAATCTCCTTCAGCTGTGGCTGGAATGTTAATAAGGGCAAGTGTTGGGGAAAGGAAGGAAAATGAAGGTAGACAAAGGAGAGAGAGAGAATGGGATAAAGAAAGGGTGGCAGAGAAAATAAGCACACAAATACATGGATCATAGGACGAGAGAGGTGAATAATGGAAACAGGGGGAACTGACTTGATATTTGAGAGTGCAGCACAAAGGCCAGAGAGATGGCTCAGTGGTTAAGAGCACTGACTGAGCCGGGCGGTGGTGGCACACGCCTTTAATCCCAGCACTCGGGAGGCAGAGGCAGGCGGATCTCTATGAGTTCGAGATCAGCCTGCTCTACAAGAGCTAGTTCCAGGACAGGCTCCAAAACCACAGAGAAACCCTGTCTCGGAAAACAAAACAAAACAAACAAACAAACAAACAAAAAAAGAGCACTGACTGCTTTTCCAGAGGACCCGGGTTCAACTCCCAGCACTCACATGGCAGCTCACAACTGTCTGTAATTCCTCACATTAGACATACATGTAGGAAAACCACTGATGCACATAAAATAAACAAAATTAAATAAAAGAAAAAGAATGACTAGGAAAGAGGACGAGACTGAGCAAATGAAGAGTACTCTCATCAAGGGGAATGCACTGTAAAGGGATATTCGTTATTGGTTGCGGGAAGGATATAGCGATAACAGCCCTTGTTCAGTAGCTCTGGCTAGGACCACAGACGCTGTCGGAAGCTTAGAGGCCCACTCCCTTCCCCACCACGTTTCCATTCACTCCTAATCGTCTATTCATACCTGACAGCTCTGCTGCATGCCCATCTGCATCTCCATATTCAAACTCCAGAGTAGGGCAGTCCACAGAGCCCTATAGTAGAGAAAGTTCTCATTACTGGGGAAAGGGGTTGTCAAAGAAAGAATATACCCTATTTCTACCCTTTTCCCTCTTGGAGGCCAAGGTCAGATCAGAGAGGCATCTAGAAAGCCCGAATTGGCCCTTTCATTTGAGTGTCAACCTCTCCTTTCAAACCAAAATCTGAGGCCCAGTGCAGGGAAGGGCTGGGATTGCTCCCTAGTATCAGCAAGTCTAGGTAAAGGACAGGACTACACACCGGGATAAAAGCTGCCATCTGAGGCAAGGCACGATAACATATGCGTAGGATGTTCCATTCTGGAGGCAGAGGCGGGAGGGTTCATGCTTAAGGTCAGCCTGGGCTGGGGATGATCTTTAGCTAGCATGCATCAAGCCCCACATTTGATCTGCAGTACTCCCGGAAACAGAGTATGGTGGCACTCAGCTGCATGGGGAGTTTGAGGCCAGTCTGGACTGCATAGGACTTTTCCTCACAAAACCATAACCAACTAAAAGCAAAAAGAAAGCAATGATCTAAGCCTATTTCTAATCTACATGAGACAGGGACAAGAGGAACATCTAGGTCATGTCTAAGAAAAAAGATAAGCAAAAACCAAAAGATGAAAACTGAATTCTGGCCCAAGTTCTGTTATTAGTCCACTAAATGTGTCTCATGCCAAAGGTTCCTCATATACTTAAAGAAAATAGAAAAAGAAAAAGGAAAAAGAAAAAAGAAAAAGGTTTTGAGCTCTAACATTCAACAACTAATTATCCAGTTAGTATAAATAAGGTAGCATCTATATTCCAAGTTGCATCAAATACTAAATTTCCCATGATGTTGTATGTATAATCCACTTTAAAATATTTTAATACTCTCACTTTCTAACCTCTTCAGATTCCTTTTAGTATACTTTTATATAAACTCTGCTTATTTAGACAATGCTGGGATTGCAGACATGTGCCACCACCTAGTGTATGAGTTTCTGGGATTAAATGCAGGACTTTGTACATGTTAAGCAAGCACCTTACCAAATGTGCTACATCCCTAGATATTTTAGTTTCAAGACAGGGTCTAGTTCTACAGGCCAGGATGCCCCAGAACTCACGATGCACTTCAGACCAACTGAACTCAAAGGACAATCCTTCTGCCTCAGCCTTCCAAGTGTGGGATTTCTGGTATGAGTCACTGTGTTAGGCCCTATGTGAATTTTTGAAATTCTGAGTTCTGTTAGACCTGATTGCACAAGTCTTTAATCCTAGTACTCAGGATGTAGAGACAGGAGGATCTTTGTGTATTTGAGGTCAGCTGGTCTACATAGTGAATTCCAGGTCTGCCAGAGCTACATAGTGAGATCCTGTCTCAAAAATCAACTAAGCAAAAATAAATACAATTTTAATCTTGCTTCTGTCACATATTATGTAATCATGGCCAAGTTTACTTCTCTGTACCTCAGTATAATATTAAATAAATATTTGGTCTTTACCCTTGGTTCCTAGCACAGTGTTCCTAAAAATCCTTAGAACATTCTGATCGTGTTGTATGTTACTCAGGATCCCATTAACTATACCAGAATTAATGTTACTGATAACTCATGGGGGACCCTTACATAGTTCTAAGTAAGGATTGGCTCTACCAGAAAAAAAAAAAAAGCATGCTTTGAAGCTAATAATCAGTGCTCTTATGATGGTGGTATGTGGACCACAGATTGAGCGCAGTTGCAAGGCCAAGGGTTTAATTGACCCCATCATGCTCCACATGAAAACCCAGTCAGTCAAGTACTTGTTATGTAAGCCTGAGGTGCCGGCAGTTCTCAGAACCCATGAGTACGTGTTTGTAATCCCAGTGCTGGGCAACCATCCTGGCCAGCTTGGACTAGCTCCTCACCAGTGAAAGACTGTCTCAAAAAACCGAGGTGAATGGCCCAGGAATGACACCTGAGATGAACCCCTGGCCTTCACCCACGTGCACACACATGTACATTTCCAGCTGCACAGGAAGAGAGGGAGGGTGTGTGTGTGTGTGTGACAGAATCCCTGACACAATGACTTGCAGTTTGGTGCTGATGAAAAAAATGGATGTACTACGAGGGCGGTGACCCTTAGAGAGGGCACAGAATCTCCGAACCGATCGAAGCCCATATCCTGTCTTACGAATCTCTTCTATTTAGTTGTTTATGATTTGTACCTTTCATTTAAAAATCAGATTCTTAAGTACATACATTCCTGAGTTCAGTCATTCTAGCAAACCATCAATCCAACTTGAAAGGGGTAAGTAATGGTAACCCGAGTTTTCAGTTTGCCAAGAAGAAATGTGTACAATCTAGGAACCTCACTTGTGGCTGGCCTCTCAAGTAGGGGCAATCTTGTGTATGCACTGGCCCCGGGTAATTAGTGTCAGAATTGAATTCACATGGAGGACGTTGCATAGGCATCAGTAATTATTGTTGGAAAATGCTCAGTATTCTCATCCATAAAATGATGACAATAATAAGACTCTCTTCAGAGGGTTATTATCAGGATTAATTAGTTAAGTACAAGAAAGGCTCTTAGCATATATAGCTCTTTTGATCTGCGTCAATTGTAATTCTCTTCTAGCAATTTTTTTTTCAGAAGCCCTAGAAAAGAAAACTATCTTCCCTAAGAACTGCCCTCTGCTGGAAAGTAAAGAGGAAAGAAAAGCAGATCTGGGCACTGCAAAGATGGTAGGGGACCGACTGACAAGAATATCCTATACATTGGAAGGAAGGAAAAAAAGCTCGTTTTTGCAGCATGGCTTTTTGGAGGCAATGAGCCCTGACAGAGATGATGACTACAGTTGTTCACTTCCAAGCATGAAGAATGCAGCTGCAGAAATGCAGCTGTAAACAGCAGCGCCAGGAAGAGTCTGGGGTATAGACATTGAACTCACCGGCAGAAGCAAAGTACTAGGAGAGCCTTTTCCTGCTGGAAGCTGTGATAGGTAAGGGTCCTTACTTCCGAAGGGCGATCCAACAGAGCACTCTGCAGCCACCTTATTTGCATATCGTCTGTTTCCGCACCCTTCCTAGAATGCTAGCTCACTGTCGTGTCATTAGCATCTAATAACTTCATTGTTACCTCCTGAAAATATCTGATCAAGAACTTCCTCTATTTTGTGCGGCCACTATGTAAACAGCTCTCCTTCACCATGCCCTCCCCACCATGAAAGACCTCTGAAACCACCAGCCATCTTTTCCTCCAATGGGGGGGGGGAGGCAAAACAGAAACAATGTCTTTCTTGGGGAAGGTGGTACATGGTTCTTCTAAAAGAAAACTAGCAAGGAAACCTTGGCTGTGCAAGGTGGTGACGCTAGGGGCAATCCCCCTCCCCCTTTTACCTTTAAGAAAACAGGAGCTGGGGTGGGGGGCGGGAAGCTCAGTGATAGTAAACATGCTTAGTTTTGTGAGCCCTCTTTACAATAAATAACCAAATAGACAAATAAATCACGTTGGAAATTGTGATGGATTATTCAGACAAAGCATCATAGACTTGATTTATAGGACTCCCTCTGCCAGTTAATGAGAATGATGAGTTATAAGTACTGACCAATTAATTATGTGAACTGTGATAAGCACTTTATGTTCAATTATTTATAGTGTTAACCCCATTTTAGAGATGAAGAAACTGGAGCTCCAATAGGTTAGGTAATTCGCCACAAAGAAAATAAATAGTAGCACTGAAATAAAAAAAAAAAAACAAAAAAAAACCCAAAAAACAAAAAACCTGGCCTGACCTGAAGGACTCTGAACTTGGTGGTCTTGGCCACTCCCTTTGTTAGGTGTCTGATATCAGGAAGGTTGGCTTTACCTCTTTTACTCCCTAAATGACTCCCCCGCTCTTCCCGGCCTCTTTTTATGGTGCTAAGGATCAAATTTAGCACCTTGAGCATGCTAGCTAGGCAAACACTCCATCACTGTGCCACATCCTCCAGCCCTGTGTCTTTTGCATAGTAAAATGAAAGGGTTGGGCTCACTTTGGTGGCACATACTGTAATCCCAGAACGTGGGAAATAGAAGCAAGAAGATCAAGGAGGAGTTCAAGGCTCTCCTCAGCTAACACAGTGAGTTCAAGCCCAGCCAGGGGAAATGAAACTCTTGTTCATGGCTTTGCCCTGAGCCGTCTCAAATAGCTAAACTAAGATGAAATCAGATAAAATAAGGGCTAACCCAAATGACCTCCACAGCCCGCAGCGACATTTCGTCCCCGAGTTGTCCGTCCCCCCCCCCCCCCCCGCCAATGCAGTTTAGTTAGATTTTTTGTTGTTGTTGTTGTTTAAGGAGGAAAATATCCAAATAGCCAACCCCCTTAGCTGCACCTGGGACCGCTGCACCCAAATGCCGCCGCTCTGGTTCTACCCCAGCTTGAACCACGTCTCTCTTAACCCTCCTAGACAGAGACAAGACCTCCGCGGAAGGCGCTCCCCCAGGCACCTCCATCACCCCGAGATCAGAAGACAGCGAGGGCAAGCAAGTGCTTCAGGCCGGTCTGGTCCAGTCCAGAGCCAGTTGCTGCAGTCTGGACCCGGAGACGCGCTGCTCGCCTGCCCATCCTTCCCTCCCGCGACCGGGCTGGGGCTCCCACCCCTCCGGACAGTCCTAGCACCTCTGCGCGCTGTTTCCCCATCAGCAAATCGGGGTCCGAAAATCACCCGGCGACAGCTATCAAGTATCTGCAAAGTATCTGTTACGTTCTTCGCGCGGGTTAGGGAAACCGTAGGAAACAGGGCTGGAAAGCCGGCGACCCGCAACGGGAAGGGACCGGGCTGTGGGCCGCGTCACTTCATCCTCCGCTTCCCGCCCGGGGACGTCTCCGGGTTCCTCACCTCCGACTCCCGCCGCTGGCTGCGGAACGCTTCCCGGCCCTTGGGCGCACCCAGTTTCCCTTTGCCGCCGTTGCCGTTGTTGCCGTTGTCATTAGCTGGTGAGCCGGCAGGCCCGGGCGCCGCGGGGTCGTCCATGCTGGGCCGGTTGGTTCCCTCCAGCCGCTCGCCTCCCTCCAGCAGCTCCGCGGTCTCTGCCCGGGGCGACCCAGCCACAGCGCGCGCCCGGACCCAGGCCCCGCCCCCTCCGCTTCTATTGGCTGTGACTACTCCATGAGGCCCCGCCCCGTGTTGCGATTGGCTGTTCAGCCAGGCCGAGGTTGGGGCTCTTTCAAGGAATATTTTCCCCTCACACCCCAGGCTTTTTTACTGCACTTTGCAGGAGGTTGGCTCCTGGCTCCGCCTCTCGAATTCTGGATCCTGAGCTCGGGCGGCTTACCTCCGAACTGCCTGCTCCTTTCAGCGCTGTCGGGTCCCACGTAGCGGCCTTTGCCTGCCAGCCCTAGCCCCAGTTCCACTGCAGTCTACGGTTCCACAGACCGGGACCCCCCCAATCCTGGCTGCTGCACGCCTCTCATATCCCTCTTTGTCGCAGAGAAGGGCTTGGCCTTTTGGAATAGCCTGAGCCACCACACCACTAACTTATCCTTTCTGGAAGCCGGGAGAAAGGGAGTTGAGGGGAGGGATGTCACTGAAATCCTTGCCGCCCTCGAGGTGCTGCTCCCTGTCATCTGTCCCCAGCTTTGCAAGCACCTTTCTCTTGGTGCGAATAAGTAGCAAGCACCTACCCTCACCCACTGCTATTTCTTTCCCCTCTCTAGAGCAATCTCTGGGCAGGCAAGAAGGCTCAGTGGGTAAAAACGCTTCTAATCTAAGCCTAAGGTTTTGAGTTCGATCCCAGGGTCCCCATATGGTGGAAGAAGAAAAGGGATTGCTGAAAGTTGTCCTTAGACCTCCACAAGTACTCCGCGGTGTCCCCCCATTCCCACACATACAAACAATAAATATTTAAATTAAGAAAGATAAAAAACCTGCACCCTAATTGCTCAAGGTAACGGAGAGTTGAAGACTGTGAGTACTGCCCTCTCCTGAATTAGATAGGCAGATCTGGTTTGACAAAGGCTAAAGCGAAGGGGAAGGAACAAATTGCTATCCTAACCTTTTGCTTTGGGAAGACCATGGGCGGTGAAGGAATCATTGAATTGGGGGCCCTGCTAAGCACCGCATTAGATGTTTTGTTTGTTTGTTTGTTTAGTTGGTTTGGTTTTTGGTTTTTAGTTTTTTTCCCCCCAAGTACAACACCTTTTTCCTAACAGGCTATTTTCATGAATCCGTTTTTTACTGACGAGGAAACTTGTAAGCACAGAGAACGCCATGGGGTTCCCAAAGTATTACATTGAGTCTTAGTGTTGTAAGTGTGCTGCTCTGTGGAAGAAACCCATTCTCTTGGTTTTATAGTCTTGGCGTTTCAATTACTGCGATAAAACCATGACCAGAAGCAACTTGGGTAGGGGAGGATTTATGCCATCTGACAGCTTACAGTCCATTACTGAGGGGAGCCAGAGCAGGAGCGGAAAGGGAAAACCGTGGAGGAATGCTGCTTACTGATGTGTTCCTCACAACCTGCTCAGCCTGCTTTTTTATACAACTCAGAACCACTTGCTCAGTGGTGTTCATGCCCACAGTGAGCGAGCCCCGCCCACAGTGAGCGAGCCCCGCCCACAGCAACTACCAATAAAGAAATGGCCCCATAAGCTTGTCCACAGGTCAATCTGCTGGGGGCTTTTTCTCAGTTGAGGTTCAGTCTTCCAAAACGACTCTAGCTTTCTGTCCAGTTCACACAAAGCTAGCCAGCACAGCTACTGCTCTTGAAGATTCCACTTACGACCCTTTTTCCTCTAGAAAGACTTTTTTTTTTGACCCTCCTTACTTTAAGCATGTTGCTGAGATCCCAAACTGTGGTATTTGTATTCTCCTCAAACAATGCTTTTATCCCTCCTTTCCTATATCTTAGGGACGATCCCATTCTTTTCAGACAGGGTCTCATATTGTAGCCCAGGATAGACAATGGAGTCTAGTGTGGCCATCCTGCTTTCACTCTCTTGAGTATTGGGATTACAGACATGAGACAACATACACATCTTAACCCATTTGTTTTTAAAAATATATTATTTATGTATATGAGTGTTTTGCCTATTATGTATATCTGTGCACCACATGCCTTCCTGGTGCCCACAAGAGGCAAGCGGAGGGAGTTGGATCTCCTGGGACTGGAGTTGGGAGCTGCCATCTTGACCCTGGGAATTGAACTCAGGTCCTCTGCAAGAGCAGCCTGTGCTCTTAACCCAGTGAGCCTTCTCGGAACCCTCAGCTCTCTTTCTACCTTACCTTTCTGTTAGTTGGCAGGGTGGCAGGAGGAGCACTGATAGAGACTTCGTTTCTTGGAAATTTCTGGATATCTTTCCTGGTCCCCAGCATCTCACTAGCACCCCCCCCCCAGTCTTCTATTCCCACTCCCACTCCACTGTGAGTGTAGTTCCTTTGGAGGGTCAACCTCATTGTGCTTTTTTTTTTTTTGAGTAGGCTGGTCTCAAATATGGTTTAACTGAGGATGACCTTGAACTCCTGACCTTCCTGTTCAGAGTGCTGGGGTTACAGATGTGCACCACACCTGGTTTTTCACTGGCTTTTGCTTGCCACGTTTCTGTGTTTAATATGGGGATTCACAATCTATGTGCTGTTGACATTTTGTACAGAAAAATAATTTATTATGGGGAAGTGTCCCCTACATTTTAAGCTGTTCAGCAGAACTTTGGGCTGCCCCTGAAATATGCCAGGAGTACTTCCCTTAGTTAGTACAACCAAAAATGTTTTTAAACATTGCAATATGTCCCCTGGGAAGCAAAATCTCCCTTTGAAATACCTTGACTTTGCAAATAAACTCATGTGAATTTCCAAGAAAATCTTCGGCTCCAAGGCACAAACTATTTGATTTTGAAATTTTTTTTGGGCATAATTTGTTAAATTCTGAAAAAATGTGCAATCTACATTAAGATTCACAACCCACACTTTGCTTATCCCTGCTTTAGTGTAACAGACTTGCCACAGCATAGCCCATTGGATTTCTTACTAAAAAAGAGTTCCTATCTACCTCTTCTGTACCTCTCTTCTTACGCAGCCAGAGCTCCAGAACTGACAGTCAGAGATGATTCTCCAATGAGCCTAGTCGATCAGTAAAATCCTCATAGACACTAGTTCCGAGGCTTTCTTCCTTTTTCTGCTTACCCCCAAGGCAAAGGGCAGACTGATCCCTTGGGAGTGGGGCTGAGGCAGTCTCCTCTGGCTCCTATCTAAAGGCCGATCTTAGAGCTCCATCTGGTTTTGCTTTCAGAAATGGGTGAAAAATTTGAAGATTGCAAAGAATCAGAAGGTGATCTCTGCTTAGTGGGCTGGAAATCAGCAAAGATCACGCATCTATCTGCTCAACATAAGCCCAGATAGATGCTCAGAACTCGTCGTGAAGTGTCTGCGGAAAAACTGGGTCACGGGAAACTTGAATCAACTGAAAACTGTAGGCCATTCAGCTTTTGTTAACAAATGAGTGACAGTTGTGAACACCAATGGCCACAGAAGCACCCACAAGTGAACTGGAGAGATAATTTGTCAGGCTGGCCATGTGCCTTTCCATTTCCTGAGATGCTGTCAGTATCTTAACATCTGTGATTCCAGGGCTAGGGACGGCTAGTGGCTAAGAGCACACACTCACTGCTCTCCCAGAGAACTGAGTTCAGTTTCCAGCACCCACACCAGGCAGCTCACAACCACCTGTGTGGCTTCCACAGGCACCAGAACTCACAGTCACTTACCCACACACAGATACAGAAATAAAATAAAATCTTAAAAACAGCAGCACCTCTCCCACCCCACTATACTACCAAGTTCCCTTGTTCCGAAGCTTTACTTCCAAACTCAGGCTTCTGACAGAGGGAGGGTTGATGATGCAAACATGAATAATTAGAGATGAAACAAACTCCTTTCTCCATCTAAGTACTCAAATTCATAAAAGTAAAATAGTTCATTAAATAGACAGTACCTAGCACTAAGACAGCTTAAATATAAGATGCAGGAAGTCTTTAATTCCCTCGTTTCTGGGGGCTACTAGGTAGACAGGACAATAAAGAAGTCCACGTGGCACACAATGCACCAGAGGCTATAGGACCCTAGTCTGGGACCTAAAAGGAAGGTTAGTAAATAGTGTGTGCACCAATATCTCTAAGCAGTAATTCTCTTCTCTTCTGTATATTACCTGCAAGTGTCTGGGCACCGTGTGCATGCAGTGCCAGCAGAGGGTGCTGGATCAACAGGAACTGGAGCTACAGATGCTTGTGAGCCAATATATGGGTGCTGGGAATTGAACCCGAGTCCCCTGAACCCCAATGCTGTTAACCACGGAGTCTTTTTTCCAGTCCTACTTTAAGCAGCATTTTTAATACAGTGGGCTAATAAAACTTTAACATAAAGCATTACACAGTTTACAACTAAGTACACTATAAGAAAATTACCCTACTAATAATGGCTGAGAAAGAATAGGCAACTGTTCATATTCTAGTTACTGATTTTAGAGATATCTGACCCCCCCCCACACACACTTTGGATGAATATTGTTCAGTTCTGGGTGTTTAGATCTTTTGAAGGGCAGCACAGTGGCACTGGTGACCTAGGTCCATGCTTTAGTTTAGTTTTTTTTAATGAGTTTTTAAAAATTTATTTATTTATTTATCTATTATGTATACAACATTCTGCCTCCATGTATGCCTGCACGCCAGAAGAGGGCACCAGATCTCATTACGCATGGCTGTGAGCCACCATGTGGTTGCTGGGAATTGAACTCAGGACCTCTGGAAGAGCAGCCAGTGCTCTTAACCACTGAGCCATCTCTCCGGCCACCTAGTTTTTTTTTTTTTTTTTTAAAAAAAACATCTTAATTAACCTCACAGTCCTCATCTCAAAGTGGTGGTTCTGAGGTGTGTGTCAAGGTGGGCTGGTGGGGGAGGGACAAGATAACGGCTAGCAGGGTCTCAGGGTAATGGTCACGCAAACATGCCTGCTAGTTATGGCATCAACTTCTCACATCTTTGTCCTATGGCAGGTGACCTTATTCATCTGGTGCCCACATACCTCTCACCTCTGAATTCCTAGTTC